TGCGAATTGCTGACTGGCTCACTTTGAAACTACAACGGCTGTATGTGACGGGGATGGTGGGATTCCAAAGGGTCTTTAAAGCAGGGAGTTGCTGCTGTTGACCCATACCGCCGGCTCTTGTACCGTTTGGCCTGGATGTATCCGTCACCCTATGCGCCTATAGCATGCCCAAGCATGCCCAGTTCTTTTACAGTATCTCTCTCTTTCTCTTCCTCTATCATTCAGTTCTTTACTTTTCCTGGGGGTCTGTTTCTTTATGAGTTATATGGAGAAAATAATGAAAGTGTTTGAAAGTAAGCACTTGTGTTGTGGTTATTGAGTCTGTCTTTCTCCGTATCTGTTACAAAAGTAACAAGCGGTCACGTTGTGATGTAATTACAGAAGATGATATTGTGGAACTCAAATCTTAAAAATCAGAGGGTCAAGCTGACAAAAAAGTCATGTTTCACCCAATTAATTAATTAATTAATTAAAGAGTTCAGATGCAAAAGCCTCTAAATGCCATTTGAAATTTTCTTCTTTAATGATGATTTTTATCAAACTTGTATATTTAAGTTCAGTAATTTCACTTAAATAAATTATCATTGCCATTTAAGTGAAATTACTGAACTTAAATATACAAGTTTGATAAAAATCATCATTAAAGAAGAAAATTTCAAATGGCATTTAGAGGCTTTTGCATCTGAACTCTTCAATTATATATCTGGATACAGACAATGAAAACTTTTTTTAAATTGTTAACATTTGTATTTTACATGTACTTACCATAGTAATAACAGTAAATTATGCATAACTATGCAACTAACCCTCAACAAAATCCTAATCCTACCCTAACCCTATAGTAAGTACATGTAGTTAATTAATATTACTCAGTGCTTAAATATACAGTATAATTAAATAACAATGACACCTTAAAATAAAGTGTAACCAGATATTTTTAAATGTGAGTTTATGGCAATTAAGATATCAATGCACTCTCCCCAGACATACACTTTTTACACCATTACCGTGAAGTGAAACTAAATTAAATTGTATGCTACTAGTAACACTACAGAGTAATATCTATGTTATTTTTTTCTTCTGAAAAAAAAAAAAAAAATTCAAATAAAATTATTGAATTACTGTAAGAATTACAAAAAGAACTGACATCTCTGAACTGAGATTTTAGGGGGGAACGTGCTTAAATGTCAAAACAATGCAAAAAATAACACCCATAAAATAGCCTTCATTGTCTTTACATATAGTAAAATATAATTTTTTAATTGAAAAATCATTGTATTATAGAATTTATTACAGTAATAAAGTAAAATAAATAATGAGAGTCATCAATAAGATTTACAACAAAAAATGTGCTTGGAAATGTTATACTGCAAGAAAAAGTACAGTATGGTCATTCGTTGTCCTTCAAAATATAATTCTTATGTTTTTTCTTTTGATTTTGGGGTAAAATACAACTCCGACATCTTCATAGGTTCATTTTACTCAAGTTACAGTGAAAGTGATGCAATATTCTCAGTGCAGACGACTGAACAAAAACAGACAAGCAGGGGATGCATTCAGATTTCCCCATATGGAATTGTTCTCCAGCAAGCCAGGGGTGTGGCCAAAAACTAGGGGCGTGGCCTATCTAACTGGACACTTCACACACGAAGGTTATCTTATTTTGAAAAAAGCACTGTTCGTTTTTGTCAGGACGTCCTCTATAATGATTGTCACGAATGTAAATGAACCTACTTGATGGATTGCGAGTAAAAAAAAAATGAATTGCACTGAAAATATGAAATACAGTCTGCAGGGACACAAGGTCAATTCATTTTATCTTCAAAGTCTCTCTCATGTCCTTGTTTTGTCTCTTTCTCTCACTTTCATCCTTGTCCACTCCTGCAGAACCTAACCCCATGTCATCTCTCCTATTGTCACATCACTGAATCATGGAGGTGGAATGCTTACAAATAAGCATAAAAATCCACCCCTAACTGACTTGAGATGGTTTGCAAATATCCTCAGGCACCAGTGCAGAAGTGCGAATAGTGCACATGGAAATGAAAATTGTCATCATTTACTCACCCTCATGTCGATCTAAACCTGTTTGACTTTCTTTCTTCTGTGGAACATAAAAGAAGATATTCTGATGACTGTTCTGGCTGCACTTTTCCATATAATGAAAGTGGATGGGGACTGGGTCTGTCAAACTCCAAAAAGACAAAAAAAATGTACCATAACAGTAACATAAAAGTCAACAATCAGAATCCATCCTGCTTTGAAGAGCTTGAGCATTTAAAGCGGCAGCGCGGTTATAATAAACAGACCGATATCGTGCGTTGGTGTGGACGCTAATATAGTTATCATTAAAGTCATCATTCTTGGTGTGAACGGGCCTTAACAGTACAGTATACCAAAAAAACCACACATATAGTGAACATCATACTGGAATTTCAGCATGGGTGCAAGTATATTCTAATGACATTACGCCAGTGTACTTCCTTTGACCCTACTGGGCATCAGTGGCATTTTTACATGGCTGCCTCTGTCTTCACATTACTGTGAGTCTGACCGGTTGCCTGTCTCCTAAGAAGTTAAGCCAATTTTGTCTGAGATTACTGTAACAGAATCACTGTGTAGAGTTCAGCCTTGTCCCAGCACTAGAAGAGGATTATGGGTTATTTCTTTAAATCTATTGTTAAGACGGAAGTCAAGAAGGAGAGAGAGCCAGGGAAAGAGACAAAGATGACGTGTTCTCGAAACGACCCTTACAGGGCATCGGCACATCTCACAAAAACATTTACAGGTTATCTCTAAATCAAAGAGAGAAACCAAATATGTTTTGCATAATGAGTTATTAATGGATCATTAAGTTTTTTTTTCAAATGGAACTACATGCTTTAGTTTTAGGGTTTTTTTTTAACTTCCATTAATCAAAGATTCTAGTTTAATTTCTAGTCTAATTTTACCCTAAAACACATTATATAATAATTATTATATTTAAAACAGCATAAATTAAAGGTACCCCAATTAAAACAGTAATGTATATGTATTTTTAAATATGTTTCAATGGAAATCAAATTTATTTACAAATTTATTTATTATAATATAATTATTTTACATTAGCAAAGACAGTTCAACAAATATTATGACAATGTAGAAATGTAAAAACTGTATTGAGAATGAGATTTTTTTTGCATTATGGTGAAGAGAACGTTTTTTTTATGAATGCATTCAATGCTAATGCATTCATAAGAAATTTAAAAAATTGCCCACCAAGGTTGCAATTATTTGATCAAAAATAAAGTGATAATAAGAAATGTTTCACAGTATTATTGTTCTTAGTGTAGAAAACCGTTGCGCTGCTTAATATCTTGGCGTGATTTCTTACAGTATTCTTTGATAAATAGAAAGTTTTAAAAAACAGCATTCATTTATTTATATTTTATCATCTTTGTTTTTTTTTTTTTCTTAATTCAACCCAAAATCAAAAGACAGAAATATTTTGCGAGGGTTTTGTGAGGTCGGCAGACGCTTTCTGAAACTTCGTTGTTACTTTTGGTCAGAAAAAGATCATTAAATGTCTCAATTTACAAGCCTATTCAAACTGTGTCCAAGCAAATTAGATAATGTGAGGAAAAGTGTCCCCAAGCTATAGAATTAGTCAAGCCTCAATTATGAATCATTATCTTCAATCAAACTCTCTTTCTGATTGGTTCAGCGGACTAATGAGGTCATAAAGACAGCCACAAGGTAAATAAATGGAATAAATCAAGTAATGTGACCTACAAACATCTTAGTAAATCTTAAAGAACAAACAATCCTGTCCCCGTTTCTCCTTGTTTAAATGTCTTTCTCTCTCTCACACACTCACTCTTCTGACACGCCTTTGACGACAGCAGTTTTCTGTGCTTCAGGACGTCAGAGCAGCGTTTTAAAAATGGTGACTTTTTAGTTATTTATAAACTCTGTCTTTTAAAAGAAAAAAGAAATAAAGAATTGTAAAAAAAGATGGCGAGATAGAGAAAGAGGGGAGATGAGGAGACAGTTGGCTGCGTAATCGTAACCTCATCCATCTCTCTATCCGCCATTTATTATTCATTAGCTTCTCATTCTACATCGCTCATTCTTCACAGCCAAAAAAAAATAAAAAAAAAAATAGGTCAATGTGGGAAGCGCCTTTCATTTAGAAACTGTGATTGCTGCCTGGCCATCCTCTTTAGCTTTCTTTAGTTCAAAGTCTTGAGGAAACTTCTCATTAATGTTTCTGTCTTTCACAAAACACAACAAAATCTGTTCTGATATTTGTCGCTATTATTTCTCACGTTTATAAAATTTATTTTTTACCACCCCACCACCCCATTCTATTGTTTTATTTGTTATTGTTAACTAAAACTGTTAAAATTGTTTTGATTTATTTAAATAAAGTTAAATAAAAAACTTAGACTTCATTGAAAAATAGAAATCTTGATCAAATGAAATTTAAAAATATGATAAAATTGAATATTAATACATATTATAATATTATATTAACAACACTGGTTTTATATTTATGACAGTAGATTTATTTAGCTTGTGATTTCATTCCTAGTAGTTGTGTCTAGAGTGCTCAATGGCAGTACAATAAAGAGACAAAAAAAGGTTTCCTAGTCATGCTATTGAGTAAAAAGTTAAGCTAAAAGTTGTCCAAAGAGAGTAACATTCATTATGTTTCCTTTAGTAGCCGATAATATCTCTTCGACTCAATTTGTTCATGTCACGTATGTGAGAATATATATATATATATAAATCCCTTTTTATAATCGCTAGTCAGGAATAATGGCACTTAAAATAAAATAAATAAATAATAATATTCTCTTTGACATTGAAACAGGACAGAAAAGAAAGATTATGAATAATCTTCTCTGGTTCAAATCACTAACTATATTGCATGATTACTTTTAACAAAATTGTATGTTGAGGGAGCCAATTTTAGGTCTATTTTTGCCTTTAATTTGTCTATTGATTCCGCATTAAAAATAAACTTAGATGTGCTAAAGGACAAAATTAATCAAATATTTTGATTTAAAATTTAAGAAATTTAATAAAGCTTAGTATGATTTACAGCAGTGGTCACAACCCCAAAATGGCTTCCAAATCTGTTCAGAAAGGGTTGAGGAAAGCAGGGAAAAAACAATACTAAACTACTTTGATGAAGAAATAATAATAATGACAAAACGGCAATGCTTTAGAAACATTAAAGTCAGAAGAACATGCTATAGCTGCTTTTAAAACTCAAACACACATTCATTCATTCTCTTTTGTTCACTTTCTCTCTCTCACACACACACACACACACACACACACGAGAACACAAATACATTCTCCTACAAACAAACCCTTTAATTATCTTAGCACACGCACACTTGTTTAATCTCATTCCTGATCCTCAAAGACCACCTTTGCCATGGCGTGGGCGACCTTTTGTACTTTCTTCTCTTTGGCATCAGGACCCATGTTTGCTCTGGCCAGACCCAGCCAATACTTCTCAGTCCGTGTTTGATAATCCACAAGAGCTTCTCCGGGATTTACTGGGGGATGGTCCGCATCTAATAGAGAGATATAGAGAAAATGTCAACACTTGTTCAGATTACCGCTTCCGATCTCTTAAAAAAAAACCTAAAATATATCTTTTTGTTCACATCAACAACTTTGGTATTGCCACTTGATGTTCAATGTAAAATCTGGGACACGAGGAGCTGAAATGGAGATACTTTAAGCATGCTACCCAACCATTAGGCAGCCACAAGCTGACAATCAGTGATGTCATTACAACTGACAAGCGAAACAGGCATCTAACAATAATGAATTTGAGCGAGACGGACCCCAAAGCAAAACACACAGCTCTGGTTGTCAAAGAGGATCAGTGGATTTTGATCTGGGTCTTGGCAGCTAAACCCTTGGTCATGTCTACCTCATGGACCTGACCCAAATCATGGCCTTGATCATTAAAGTAAAATGTGTGTGTCCTGCCACAGGGATGGGCTTTGCATTGCTTAAACAGGTATGAAACACATTATTTTGAGTCAGTTTTGAAAGAAAACTTAACAAAATACTTATAAAAGCAAAATACTCTCTGTCATAAATGTGTATGAAGTAAACTTCAAAATTAAGAGGACAGTAGCAAAATACATACTTTCTTCACCCTCCTCTTCAGATTCGTCCTCTTCCTCATCATCCTCCTCCTCATCACCTCCCTTTGCCTCCTCTTCTTCGTCTTCATCTTCCTCTTCTGATTCTTCCAGCCACTCCTGCGTCTCTAAAACAAGGAATTTAGCGCTCAAGTGTGGCGATATCAAGACACTGTTGGCATGCTTATTGCTACTGAACACTTCTACGTGATTTTAGTTTGAACAGCAGTCTATGAGAACTTTTATCATTCTCTGAAAACTGTGGACATAAACCTTTCAACAAGAGCATTTAAAAGAAAAAATGAACAAAATAGAAAAACCTTGAAATATACAAAAGTATTTGCAAACTTTATAGACAGATAAACAGACAAATACACAGACAGACAGGCATATAGATAGATAGATAGATAGATAGATAGATAGATAGATAGATAGATAGATAGATAGATAGATAGATAGATAGATAGATAGATAGATAGATAGATAGATAGATAGATAGATAGATAGATAGATAGATAGATACAGTAGATAGATAGATAGATACAGTAGATAGATAGATAGATAGATAGATAGATAGATAGATAGATAGATAGATACAGTAGATAGATAGATAGATAGATAGATAGATAGATAGATAGATAGATAGATAGATAGATAGATAGATAGATAGATAGATAGATAGATAGATAGATAGATAGATAGATAGATAGATAGATAGATAGATAGATAGATAGGTCAAATAGACAGACAGACAAATAGACAGACAGAAAAATAGACAGACAGACAAATGGACAGATAAACAAATACACAGACAGACAGATAAACAAATACACAGACAGAAAGATAGATAGATAGGTAGATAGACAGACAGACAGACAGTCAAATGGACAGACAGACAAATACACAGACAGGCAGACAGACAGATAGATACACAGACAGACACACAGACAGACAGATAGACAGACAGATATACAGAAAGACAGACAGACAAATACACACAGACAGATAGACAGACAAATACCCAGACAGACAGACAAATACACAGACAGATAGACAGACAGACAGACAGACAGACAAACAGACAAATACACAGACAGATAGACAGGTAGACAGACAGACAGCTGAAGCTAAGGGAATTCTGGGCCTCTTTCCACTTACTGGGGTCCATTTCCACTAGGACGTCCCACAGGTCCATCTTATGCAGGTCCAGGCTGTAGAGATCGCTGAGGGTGAACTGTCGATCCCCCACCTCAAACATTCCGCCATACAAGTACAACTTGCCGTGCTTTACTGTTGCCATGGCGCTAGAGCGAGGACAGGGCTCCACCAGGGAAGCCATTGCAGCAGCCTCCACCTCTTCGTCATCCTCCTCCTCTTCGTCCTCAATGTCCTCCTCTGCCTGTGCGGCTGGAATCACTTCCTTGATGGTCATAACCGTTCCGTCCTCGGCGACAATCTCTTTAACAATCTCGGTGGGACCCCGTGCCTCCTCTTTCTCCTCTTCAGTTTCATTCGTCTGTTCTACCTTCGCCCCACGGCGCCTCTTCTTCTTTTCTGACTTGTTTCCCTGCCAAGAAAAGTAAAATATGTATATATTAATGTCTCTATTCAGGGGCTTAACTAAAGCAAAAACGTCACACCAACCTTTAGCTGGGCAGGAAACCACCGATTTTTGTTGATATCATAAAAGTAAAGATCATTAAAGAAATCTCCATCCAAAAACTCCTCATCTTCCTCATCACAGACGCCACCGAAGAGGAGCGCTCGGCCCCCAGGGCCCACAGCCAATGAGAAGCCAGAACGAGGAGGGGGCTTCACTCCTGCAGGGTTCACTCGTGTCCATGTCCACTTTTCTGCAAGACAGGGGCCAAAAATCATAAGCTAATCTTTTTCAGAAATGGGAAAGTGTATGAAGAAATGAAGAGAAAAGAAGCCGACGTTAAACAAGCGATCACCGAGGCTCTAATTATGGTACCTTGCTCCTCTTTGCCTTCCCGCCTCAGCAGGAACATGTCAGAATGAATGGTTCCTTTATCCACATCCTTCTTCGCTCTCTGGAAGAGAAAAGCGGCCATTACCACCTACGTCTGTTTACTCTCGTGGGTTTACTCAAGGACAAGCTCCTGGAAATGATACAATGCCCTGCTCTCTGTGTAGAGCAGTTGAAGTTGGCATCAACATGCTCATGCAAAGCGAGGCTAAACACAACATAGCTTACCTAATGATGGAATCAAGGCTAAAAAGGCTAAATTAATTACACTTTATCTCGCATGTTAAATATGGAGGTGATAAATATCCCCATTTTAAGCCTTTAAAATGAACCACCTTCAATTCAATTTTGTTGCATTATTTTGGAATAGTTGGCTGTATAAATGAAGGCACTGTAAAATAGTTTATGTGACCAGACATCAATAGGATTGTATAATAAAGTGGCAAGTTGCTTAGCAACTATTACCATGATTTATTGGACATAATTACATGCACAAAAAACACAGCATTCCCACAATTCATATACTATAGTAGAAAGTGAATATAGAATTTTGATATATAAAAATACTGTGATCAAGTTGAATTTTCAGCATCATTACTCCAGTCTTCAGTGTCACATGATCCTTCAGAAATTAATCTAACATGCTGATTTTTTGCTCACTATTATCAATGATGAAAAAGTTCAGTTTATGCTGGTAAATTCTATTATATATATTATTTATACCATGGTCTGTCTGAATACTCGATTCTGATTGGCTGGAAGGTGTGAAATAAAACCGTTTAATGCACAGGTAGTTCCAAGTCAGTTGAATCACCATTCTATATTAATGTGCTGTTTTCATTTAAGCGTGTGCACACGCATACGTAACATCACACGCACACGAAACTTATCAACGCTGCCCCACGACTTTTAGTAATAAAATAGATTCACTACTGAATCGCTACATATTTCTCAGCAAAGAGGGGGATACATCACATTTTTTAATGTAATTAAAGACATAGCTTTGTTGTTAATGGAGGAGACACTAGAACGCATCTCTCTCTCTCTCAATTATAAATTCAAATAAATGCTATAATTCATTCGTTCAAATAAATGTAATTGTACGCACTACTTTATCTCTAAAGTAAAGTAAAGTACAAATAAGTAAATAAATAAAAATTGTACTTGGTCTCTGCATTGCCTGTACAGAGAAACCCATGTTTATTTGTCATCAGCTCTCAGGGCTTTTATGAAAACTACAGATTGAGCCTTTTTGAATCCCCACCCATGGACAGTTGGATGACTCGGGCAGAAAGAGCTTTTCCCCTCCGTTTGGCGTAAAACACTTTGTTTATGATGGTCATCCAGTTTGAAATGTTGAGTACAAACACAGAGGAAGTGTTTAGCCACTTCTTACAACGCGCTGGATCCTCACTGTTTCGTAACTCACTCCACTAAACATTTACTCTTTAAATTCTTGCAGTCGACACTATTATGACTAAAAGTTTGCTAAGAGGTAATTCCTACTAAATCAAGGCGGTATTTGACTCTGGTCAAGCATATCCACAGCAGTCTGGTGGGAGTGGCCTCGGATGGCAACATGCCCAGTGAGTTATGGGTGTTTTGGCAAAAGGGAAGACAACACCCTTTTCTCTGTTGTCTCTAGTCAGGTAGCACCGATTTTAAAAAACAAAATGTTTTGCATTTCTTCTGTATATGCAGCCTAGTTTTATTGAAAGCCCATTTTGACAGCAGGGGAAAAACCCTTTAAGTGTAAAATCTGAGTAAACAATTACAGTGTGAATAATAAAGGAAAATCACAGTAATAATCAAAACACGTACAGATTTGGAGTATCCGCCATAGATGATGATGCCATTGCCGTCGGGAGTGGGGGTCATTTGACAGGCTGAACGTGGACATGGGCCAGTTCCTGTGGGCTGGAGACGGCTCCATGTCAATGTGTCCAGGTTAAATGCATGGATATCATTGTAATAGATATAATCCCTGTAGAGCAGTGAATAGAGAATATTCAACAGTATTAACGTTCATTTGAATATTGATTTCCAATATATATATATATATATATATTAAAAAAATATTTAAATTCAATTTTCAAATTAACATACTATAATTATTAATTAATATTATGATTTATTAAATAAATAAAAATTTCCAAGGTCATCTCATCCAATAAATAAATACATTCACTGAATTTATTCATTCATATTCTTCTGCACATTTTTTGGAACCTGTAGTCAGGGATGCAGATCTCATTCCCGCTTCAGGGTACAACAAAAAGTTCAACATTTTCCTTACAATCCTGATTTTAATAAGAACAAGTTGAAGATGGGGACCTCTGTATCGACCTGTACCTGGTGCTCTCATGGAAACCTCCAAACACAAGTAGCTGTCGTTTGCTCAGGACCATGCGATGTCCACTCCTGCCAGACGGAGCGCCAGGAGCTCTGAGAGGTCGAAGCAGACATACTTCAACAGGTGGTCAGGATGCCAAGTCTAAAGTCAATCCTGTTAGTTTAGGGATAACCTCTATAACCTCTAGTCACAGCATGACGACAAAACAGTGGACAGACGTCTTAAAGTCCCTGCTGAACTTCCATAAAGAGTAAATACAATTAGACTTCCAGTTCGACTTAATGAGCACGGTCTTCATTAAAGGATTGTGTCAGTGTTTCAGAGTCGTTTTACAATCGAGATACTATTATCGTTTTCTTTAATATTTTATATTTGTTTTTATTTTTCGAATTTCCATTTTCATTTTAATTAAAGATGCAGTTCGTAGCTTTTTTGGGGGGGGTTAAAAATTATCCCAAATACATATTTGAGAAAATACATAACCAGCCAGTGTAAAAGTCATGATGTCATGTTGCATAGCTCAATTCAGAGCGGTAAGCTTGTAATAATGTTTTTAATTCCAGTGATACTGGTGGATTTCCGCAGGAGATTCAAGCATGTCTTTGCGTCATTGTGTCACATCTGTACACATAAAGAAGAGTCTCGGCTAGTAGGCTACATTGCGTCATTACGTCATATTACGCTTAAGTTTTAGTTAGCATTTTTTTTATCAAATATTGCAGTAATTATAATACATTTATAATACATTTTCTCATTAGGAGAGTCGCTTTACATCAAAAAGAAAGAAACTTGAAAATTCCGATTCATGCTGACTTTAAAGGACTCATAACATGGATTTGTTTTATATTTTAATATTCACTTATAATATTGGTAAAATATAACACTACAAGTTTTGTGATCTAGGACAACTTTAAAAATAAAGCATCCATTTGTTCCTGACGCTTGTCTCATTCTGAAGTCTTTACAGAAATTAGTAAATGAGTCATTTACTCATTTACAAAGTGAACATTACTTTACGCTTCAATTTATTTTTCCATATTGTTGACAGACACACCTGCATGGAGTCTGTCAGAAAGTGAACAAATCTATATACTGTATCAAGTGTATGATTATATTTGCTTTCGACATGACGCATCGCTCACATCCGGTGTAGGCCAGTGCCAGGCATTAAGAGTCTGAGCTACAAAAGGCGAAAACTATTCTATTTCAACTATTGTGAAAACTATCTGCCAATGTCTTGCATTTTAACAACTTTTAAGGCTTGCAAAAACAAAATATGTGATGATGTCTAGATATTAGCTCAGATTGCATTGTCTTTCACTTGTAATACATTGTTGAGTATTGCACAGTCCACAGTGAGTTGACAAAAACATAACAATTCTCACTTGATTTGCTCCCATGTGCGTGTGCCCAGGTGAAGCACCCACAGATCTTTATAGTGATAGAACTGCTCGCCGTCAGGGGACGCAAACTCCCCCCCAAATATCCACATCTGCCCCCCACCCTGGGGAACCACCACTGCCTGCAGGGAGATGGAGAGAGAGCTACAGAAATATGCTTGAGATAAATGATTCTTCTGTAAGGACAGTCTGACCTCTGGTGGTGAAGTCTGTAATAACATGTCCTTCATTACCCAAATAGAACATGGTTCCTTTGCTGCATCATGCTTTTTGTTTATACATTTTTTTTGTCCAAAAATACATGTATTTTTACATATTTCAAGTGTGTTAAAGAAGTACCTGTTGAGCGCAGCGTCTTGGAGGAGGGTTCGGGATCTCGGCCTTCACCCAGGTGTTCTTCTTAATGTTGTAGAAGAATAATTCATTGTATAGAAAAGTCTAGAAGAACAGAAACATTTAAGTGATAAAGGTTTTCTGGAAAGGATATAGATTGCACATAATAATCATCAACCACAGCATTCACAGTTTCCATTTAAACACATAATATAGCTGACCTGTACATTTGAAAAATCAACTTTGATTTTTTTTTTTTAATAAAAGTTTGTTAGTTCAGGGGTTTCAAGTCCAAAATCACACTCAAAATATGAACAACCTCATGCAAGGGAGCCCAATCTTAAAACTTAAAAGCCAGCTATATAATTTCATATATAAAGATAATATACTGAAAAAAAAGTATATGTAAAATGTTTCTATTATATCATCATATAATTGTTTTTTCCCCTACACTATAACACTGTACTGTTGTACGTATTATTTATTTAAATACATTTGTATCATTTTAATAGAATGTTTATTTAATTTTATCCATTTATATTTAGTTACTCAATCTTTTTTTAGTTATTTTTACATTTTCCCTCACTGTTTATCTCTACACTTGGGAGGTCCTGAACTCCAGTTAAAACCCCTGTGTAATGAACAACTGTGGCATTTGCTATAAACTATGGATTCATTTACAATGGCACCATTTTGTAAGGGATCTATGACCTGTGCTGGAAAATAGTTGGTTGGAAAACAGTTGGTCCATGGTCCATGGTCCATTACCTGGTACTAGACCATCTTGTACCAGCACCAAACCAGAATAAGGTAGGTATGTGGACATTTCAAAAAATAGCGGCCGCCATTGTGTTCCAAATCTCTGTGCCGGATTTTCCCTTATCACTCTGAGCGGGTCTCCTAAAATGCGCTGTTTTCATTGACTTGCTGTGGGAATCCTTGATTATTTTTAGCCAATCACATCGTTAGCGTTTTCGACTGCACATTTGTTTTACATTTTTTCTAGTCAGGCTGCATTTTCCTCCTGAAAGACGATTTCAAACAATACGGAAGAATTCAACTGTCAAGAAATTATTTTTACCCACTTTGGACACTTTCCAGAGGAAGGTAGACATGAAGAACATATGTTTGTGGTGTGCTGTACAAAATTTCGTGGCCATTTAAACTCCCCCTCTTTTTTTTTGACTACTGCCACTGAACGTTACCTGCAGAAAAGCTGTCAAAATGCAGCACGTCGTGTAGGCTACACTCAACATTTGTGTGGTCTCCTCCACTTTCTTTCCTCCACCAGCATTAGTATTGTTAACTCTATATTCTTACACAACTGGAAATAGCATGAATCAACCAAAATCCATCTTTTAAATTAAGGATATATAATTTTCCTTGAATTGTTGTTTTCCATTCAATTATTTGTATTTTCAACGACTGCTCGTCAGAAAAATACTATAAAAGATAGGCCTAATCAGTCTTTACGTGTGTTAAAATCAAGTATTGATCCAAATAACTACATGAAACCCACGTTAGATCCAAATAACTATATGAAACCCATCTCCACAGAAAATTTCATTAAGATATCTTGAATATTGAGAAAGTTATGAGCATTTTTGTGAAAAAAACAACTTGTTTTCGGTCACACTAAATTATATTGTTTTCACCTTAGAAATGAGACAAAAATAGGCGCTGATTACTGAACTATAAAATGTTGTAACTTTCTTCATACTTGACATATTTACCTTTTTTTTTTTTTTTTGTAAAGGGGGTACCCAGGTCTTTCCACATATGCTATCCATTTGTCTATTTGTTGAGTTTTAATTTTTTGTCCACATACCTAAATAAGGTGGTCAAGATGGTATTTGGAACATGACAGCTGATTGACCAGCTAATGACCATCTTAGATCAGCTAGAAAACAGCTCCAAAGCATAGCTAGGCTACTGTACACATTCACCAACACGCGTGCAATCAAAAACCTACTTTCTTCCCATTGAAAAATTCCCCTCCGAATAAAATCAGCTCGTCTTTTTCAGGATGCGCACATAGAGAGGCGTTCAACCTGTGGAGAGAACGAGCTGTCAGTCAAAGGTTACAGTAACATTCACGTGATTGATTCATACCTGTACACATGAACGCGCACCTGGGTGACGGAGGGTCACACACACTCTCGGTCACCTGCGTCTTTTTCGCGTCCAGAGACTGAAATTCTGCTATTAAAGCCTCTAAATCCTCCTATTTCAATAATACACAAGTATGTAATAGTATAGTAAACAAAAGCATTGTTTTCTGATATGCAAGTTATCCTGGGTTATAGTGTTGGCATAAATTCCCTCACCTCTTCTCTTTTCGATCGTTTTGACACCTTCTTCTCCATTTTGGCGGCGGTTTTCACCGCTCCTTTCACTTTCTTTTCTTTTTTACCCTTTTTACCCATTTTGAATGCTTTAGAGAATACAGAATGAAGTAAGCGTGACCATTACAGCCACATGGAGAATTAAATGAACTACAAGACAGAAGTATGATATACTTCCGCCAACAACAAGCTGGATGGTTTGTTGTGAACGCTCCTGCGCTACAGCGACACTTGCTGGTCTGGATGAGCTTCTGTGAATTGCAGGACACCGTCTAATATCACAAATACAACAATGTCTAAAAGTAAAAATCTCTAGAAATGGAAATTGCACAAGAAAAATTATAGGTCCTACGTCTGACATACTCCACAACATCATGCGGCAAACAGCAGGCTTTACTCAAAACCATAAATAGGGCTTTACTGCCCTCTTGTGTCAAATTATATTTCTATTTTTTTTTCCAACACATCAAAAAAAAAACTGAGTTCAAATCCCATTCTTACTTACGTTAAATTGTTGTGATTATATCAAACAAAGTGGCCAAAACAACATTTCTCCAACCCGGTATCAAGACAAATATTGGTCCACTTTGGAAAAGATGTCACGGTTTACCCCTCAAACGTGAAACTTACACTTAACCTGAAACTTAAACTTACCATAACGACCTATTGGTTTTCATTAAACCGAGAAAAATGGAATTTTGTTTTATTTACGATCACTGAGAAATGTTCTATTATTTAAAATGCAAAAAAAAAAAAAAATTTCAAGGTGAAAAGGATTCATTTGCCTTGATCCACGCCGAAAAAAAAGTCTAAATGTCAATGAAACAGCCTAAATGGTCCACTTTGGAAAACGTGTAGATGTCACGTACTGCAGTGATAGTTTAAACTCAAAACCATAAATAGGGCTATACTGCCCTCTTGTGTCAAAATATATTTCTATATTTATTTTTCCAATACATAAAACCTAAGCCGCAATAAAACCCATCCAATACTCGGTACACTCTAGAGCTGTGTCTGAAACCGCTCACTCGTTCACTCATTCACTAATCCCTATATAGTGTATGGCATTTGAGTGCACTATATCTGCAAGGAGTGAAGGAGATGAAGTGAGTGAATTCGGACGCTGACGTTTACACTGTGCGTCGGAGAGTTGGAGCTGTCGCAGAAAAGGCTTCGTCACGCGTACTGATAAAACTCCTTTTATCTTACATTACCTAGTTTATAAAATAATATTAACAACAATAACAATCATAATGACTTTATTTTGTAATTATACCTCCGTGCCAGCTTTGTAGTTTCATCGACTGAAATTGTACATTAACTCTCACGTTCACAGATGACGTGTCGTCGAGCGCCCCCCGGCGACCGTTATTATGTTCAAAACGACGATTAACGGATATTTTTCAAATCCTCCACTGGATGTAATGTAATCTCTGGTTTAAACTTGCTCGCGCCGAACTTTCATGCGCGCTCAGTTCTCTCCGCATTGGATTGTGGGAAATAGGGCTTCAGCGAGTGTACATCGAATGTACACTCGAATTCAGAGAGGATTGTGGGTAAAAGTAGTGAATGAATGTAGGGAATGATGTCGTTCACTCAGAATTCGGACACCACTACAAAATGGCCGACACCCGATATAGTGCACTATTTAGTGGATAGGGAGCGATTTCAGACACAGCTTAGAACTCAATAGACTCAGTGGCTCAGTTGATAACACGATGGGCTTTGATAAAAAAAAAAAAACCTGAGTTCAAATCCCATTCTTGCTTAACTCCTGTAACTTCAGTGCCCAACCCATGTGTATCAGGACAAGACGTGAAATAATCACGTTGGTCCACTTTGGAAAACGTGTAGATGTCACGGTTTAACTGATAGTGCTAGTTTGGTCATATATTATGGAGAGCCTATAGTGTTTTATAATTTGCTGACCCAGAAAAGGTCACATGTCAAATCATGTATGAATATGAAGCCTCTACATTCCTCTGAACAATGTGGAATGTGTTAACAGCGTGAACTGATAAGGTTTACATTCGTTTACCATGGGACCACTCCTACGGGCCCTGACCCACATGAAGCTCTGTTTCACATCCTCCTCATAACTGTAACACTAATTAGCATGCATGTCCCATGCAACGCTTTTGGTTTGTACACCTTACGAAAGTTTCCATAATAATATATTTTATCGAAATTCACATTCATTATAATGTGTTGACTCAACAAACAAAACAATGACACTACTCTGTTTCTCTGTTTCAGTGTTATGTAATGGTCTAGGAGGCCAGAGGAAATTAAAATGATCTGAATCTGTGAGAAATATCCTCTCGTACTGTTGACACTCAGGAGCAGAGGAGATAGCCTTATCTGACGGGCACTCTTATTTATTAAATTAATTATTACTAGTCAGTTCTATGTATGTGCAAGAGAAACTGCATGAAATTCCATTGGTTTTCTTTGCCATTAGGCTCAAAAAGTGAATTCCATGAAAAATGAGACCATGAAAACAGGCTTTAAAGTGATCCCAAAAATTAGTTCATACAAGCAATTTTAGTGAGAAGAAACAGTGAATATGTGTATTTTGATTTAAAAAAAAAGTTAGTAGACTGGTTAGTAGACATGGCGCGCTGTCCCTTTTAAATGTTTCTAACATAAAGGACAAATAAAAGTCTGTTGCCAAGCACATGACTGCTTGAATCTTTCTTCCAGTCACCTGACCGCCATTGTGAGAGTGGGATTGTGACCTTCAGTGAGATTTTTCTAATTCTGTGTGTGTGAGGCTCTCTGCCTCCAGACTTCCAGTCATATGTCTCACCCCCACACCTTTTGACCTCTGTCTTTCCACCCCTTCCAATCCCAGTCTTCTGTCGTTTCCATAAAAACAAATGGTGCAGAAGGACATGAGGCCTGTCAGGAGTGATTTCTCTGTTTCATATCTTGTATTTGAGTGCACAACAAGCATGATCACTGAGGAAAGTTATGATTAATCAGTGAGTTTAATCTCTAAAATGGATATGGTTTGTATATGGTTCGTCAACTAATGCGAATGTAACTGAAACTCGGCTGAACAAATCTGTTATAGACAATGATATTTGTATTGTGTTATAATATAAATAGGTCTGACCAACCAAAAAGGGGTTTTATATTAAAATAATTGCTTTTTAAATGAGAAAACAATCTTGACGTTTCTAAATCTCTCAGCATAACAGTTGTTGGTTCAAGTATGGCTGTACTTTTAAGACTTCTTTATGTAAAATGATTGATATGGTTGCTAACTCCCGAACACCGGCATGGTTCAAGTTGTTTATCAGTAACTTGCTAAATACTTTTTATACTTGTTTATATACTTTATACAATTGTTGATTTGTAAATGTGAGCGGTCATTTGTTAAAATGTCAACATGTTAGTGTGGTCTTGTCTCGCGTAACCAGACCTTCTGACTGATGGTAGAAGGTCTGGACCCTATCGCAGCTTTCAGCTCAGAGCCACGTCATTCTGCCTGTGGCAAAGAAGAGGTTTGAGATCCTAAATATATTCAAGGGCTGCCTGTTTGCTAGAAGGTTACAAGCCAATCACAATAAAATGGATCACCTCACTGAACACAACAAAATTGGTAGGATTTTCAAATGTTTTTTTATATAGTAAGGCTGCATTTATTGGATAAAATATATTTTTATTTTAATATATTTTAAAATAGAATGTATTCCTGTGATGCAAAGCTGATTTGCTGCTCAAGGAACGTTACTTATTATCACTAATGACAACCTTTGTATAGAAGGTTCAAATGCATTTATTTGAAATAGAAGACCTAAACATTATATTTACTGTCACTTTTGATATATTTAATGTATTTAAAGATGTTGTTGTTTTTTAAATCTTACTTAATATTTTATAAAACAGTTTTGTTTGCCGTGTTGCCTACCATACACTGACTAAATTAATAATTTTCGGATAAAAAGGTATTGCAGTTTTTATTGATATTGTATGTCCGCGTGTGTGTGTGTGTGTGTGTGTGTGTGTGTTTGTGTGTGTGTGTGTGTGTGTGTGTGTGTGTTTACCTGAGAGAATTAACTCTTGCTTTAGTCTCTTGGCAACAGGGAAATCATCAGTAATTTCTCTCTGGTTCAAAGATAACATAATTTGTTGCCACAGTGTTCAATATTTTCATTATAGTCAATATCCGATCTCATCTCATTTCTTTATATCACAGACATGTCTGTGGTCACGACTCTAATACAGAAGCCTTTTGTGCAGCTGATATCGGGATGGAGCAGAGGGTCTGTTTTCTTTGGTAATGCAGCACACAAGTGCACGCATATCTCCAAGGTATATATCCCAGCAAACACTTAGGTGTAAAATCGCATGTGTTCCCTGACACTGAGACCAGAAGTTTTGAGCAGTGCAGATGGGGGCGATAAGGGGGTAATAGTTCTGTTACAAAAACTAGTGTACTGCCTATATAGGGAGCAAAGCTTCCAAAAAGGTATGCTTATTCTTTTTACTAAATAAAAAGGCAGCATAACAAATATCCTTAGTGTACATGGCCACCCCAAAATGCACTGTGACAAGCCCAGTGGGGGAAAAACAATTTAGAAAGCAGATGATTCAAGAAATGTTGATTACAAAAATGCTCACATTTCATGCAATACCAAAAATATCACTAAAACTAGTATTTGGTAACATTTACATTTTACATGTAACTAACTAACTAACTAACAGGATTCTTTGACTTCAAACAAGGACATAACTTACCTGACAGGTTTTCCAACATTTCATACAAATTTGGAAAATAGAGCCGCAGATCTGACTCGGGTGTCGGTCAGTCGACTAGAGGTGCTTCACTGTCCTTTCACATGATGAGGTCTGCAGTCAGAAGGAGGTCAGTCAGTGTCTACATGTTACATTTAACAGTATAAAGCTACTCGAAGATATTACATAAATATGCTTTGTTACATAAATATGCTTTTTTAAACTTAAAGGGATAGTTGTCAGCATTTACTGACCCTCATGTTGTTCCATACCTGTACTATGAATTCTTTCTTGTCGAACACAAAAGAAGATTTTGAAGAATGTTGATAATCAAACTGTTGATGGCAGCCATATCTTCAAAGCCTATTATAAGTCATGATTGCTGTCAACTGCCTGGTTACCAATAGTCTTTTAAATATCTTTTATTTTAAGAGTTCAATTTTTGAATATTTGATATTTAATATTTGATATACTTAATATTTGAGTTCAAAATTAGAAAAAAACCCATACAGGTTTGGAACAACACAAGGGTGAGTAAATGCTGACAAAAACAATGTTTTATGGGTGAATGTCTTCATTAGCATTAGCACTTTTAGGGTACTTGACTTGTTAAAACAATTCACAAGATGTAATGTAATGTCAGGTGAGGTCAAAACATTAAAAAAAAAATGACTAGCTCATTTCCCAAATGTAAAGAGCAGAATATTTAAAATTCAATTCAATCACCTTTCTGCTTCCCACAAAAAAGCCTCACTCATTACGTATTTGTGCATAGAAAAGGTTCTCAAAATGTTCACAACTAGCCAACCTATGGGCCTACATATTCACACATAGGCTACATTTATTCTACCTAGTTTTAACGTTGATAGGTTAAAAAAGTTTAATTAATACGCACGGCCACGGAGTCTGAATCCGATATTGCGATTTCGTTATGAGGGACCTTCATAGCTAGTTATTTGCATAAAACGCGCCAAAGCCATGTCCATATAAGGACTTCCTACCCCCTCAGAGAGCACGCTGCAAAATGTATGCATAAACAAATATGACATTCTTGTTTAAATACAACAAACTGATTATATATAAGACTCTCCAAAGATTTACAGTTTTAGTTTGTTTTACAATAGCTGTTCTTTCAATGCCACTCATAATGGTAAAGAAATAATTTACTGTAGGCCTACTTTTAAACGGCTGAATTAGTGCCCTTCACGATTCATTTGTTAAAAATAAAAAAGAGAGAGTTTGAATGAATCCTGGATAAAACAAATAAAAGAGGAAGTCAAATGACATTGGCTAATCTTTTCCACGCAACTCACATGATGCGAAAGCTTTCCTTAGGCCACAGCAGCTGATGCGAGACCAAAATGGCTTTTGGGCCAGATTCTCGGAGTCCAACTTGCACGAGCCCATTTTTAGGAGTCACGAGCAGAGCTACAATAATTCATGAAAGTGAAAGATTTCTTGAGAGAATTCACTCATGTAGGCAGACAGTCAAGTAGTTTAATAGCCTTTAGCAACACCAAAATGTTCCATTTAGACTCTGTGGCAGTGGTATAATAAAACTTTTAAATATATTGCATAATATTTTTTTCATTAAAATATATTTGTATAATATATTTTGCATATATATGTTAATTATGTTTAAACTATAATTTTACTAAATATTGTATTTTAATTATAATTGTACAGAGGTTGTTTTTATGAATAGGCCTATATCATTAACTTTAGTCATTTATTAACTTAAGTATCTTCATATTTGTGCTCCTATATCACTGAACATCTGCGAAAAAACACAAGTACTCACGTTTTGAATGCATTCATGTTTTATTTCTCTGAATACTCAACAATGTTCTGTGGCAAAGTAAAAATCACTTCAGAGTATGAACTGTTAATATCTAAACACATGTTTGTACAGTAGATGTATAATCATGGCATCAAAAGAAAATGAATTATGAACTGCTCGATAGGATCTCTTGTTGTATTTCACATCACAGACAAGACCCGACAGAACACTTACAACCATTAACAGAGTCCAGGTACGACAAACAGAGTAATTGACTGAACAGAGATCAGCTAAACATGGAATTTACAGATGACACAAGAAAACAAGAAAGTCTTCTCTCAAACTAGCTTCAAAGAGAAGTGACGAAAGATTGAGGGACCTCGGGTAAAAGGGTTTGCCTGTCTGTGACACACACATGGCTGTTCGTGTTTGTGGTCTAAGTTTGTAAATGTAAAAATATAAAAAAAACTACAGTTTAAAGACATGATTTAAAGACACCATTTTTATTCTGAAACCTTTATGAATGTTTTTCTTTATTTCAAATTTAAAAAAAAAAATGAATTACCAACAAATCTCTTGTTAACAAACGTAATTTAATGTAGTGACTGTCACTGTTGATGCCATTGCAATGTTCACATGATTCGGCGAAAACGACTAAAAATGCTTTGTAAAAAAAACTACACGCCTATCGTTTTCAAAAACTTGCACTTTGAAACCATTTTCAAAAGTTTGCCATTTTCAGCCCCCTAAAACACTATATTAATGGGCACCAATGGAAACTAACCAAGGTAGCAGTTACAAAAAACATTTACAATTTCACTTACAGTTTTAGTTTGTTTTTCAACAACAACAACAAAAACCAGACCAAAAAAAACACAAGTATATATATATATATATGTATATATATATATAAAAAATCATTGAAAAGAAAGGAAAAAGTATCAGTAACCAATGTTAGGATTTTTTATAGAAAAATGCCCTGTAAAATTATTAGAGCACTAACGGAATGACCCTACAAATAAATAAATACAAATAAGTACATTTCTACATAACTATTTAAATTAGATAAATTGGTCTTATTGGCTGGAGTGTTAGTCATACTGCTGTAATTCTCTAAATAATACAAAGCTTCATTATCACCCACTAAAATCCTAACGGCATTAAAGAAGAAGAAGTCCTTCTAAGAAGAAGCCTAGGAAATGCTTCTGTAATCATAATAATCAAAGGACAACTTCCATTTGTCCTGAAATATCATCCCCTGCACCACCCAAAACACCCCAAGTGTTTCTCTCACCACTTTTACCGAAAACCTTTCACACATACAGCAAATTTGGTCCAGTATCGGAACAAATTACCATTTAACCAAAACTAGGATAATCCTAAAGCACTACAGCCGAATGATGCACGTCGCATTTTACAGCAAAATCAGTCCACAAACTGATGAGGCACTAAAATCTCTTCGGTAAGGGGATTTTTAACAAAACCTTGACGGTACAATAGCAAACAGGCCATACGTATTACAAAAGCAACAAACTGTTTTAAATAATTATAACGGACAATTTTCTTTAAAAAAATTCGCAACTACCAAGCTGCTGCTTGGTTTAAATAATTGCCAAAATACAAGGAGAATGAAATAAAAATAGATGGTCCAGTGTTAAGTACTTCATGTATTTATGTGATTATCTGTGTGACAGACGCAGAAAAAAGGTGCTAAATATTTAAAAAGTACTTGAAATAAAGAAGACAAACAGCGCCTCACAATTTGTGCGTCATAAAATCATTATTAGGCATAAAAATACATAGCCAGGTCATAGCTATGAGTGTAATTTACTATGTATTCACTGAGGTAAGCAGAAAGCTTAGGTATTTCTGATTCTGAATTTAGGATACTGTATTCCTATGCCTTCCACAACAACAATAATAATAATAAAGAATTGGATACATCCAATTAGAGGACCATGACCCAAAAAAATGGACGTTCCTTGAAATTCTTAGTAGCAGTTTAAAAAATGCATTAAGCTATCAAAAATAAATCTGTCGAAGTATAAAGTCATTTCAAGTTGATCTCAAAAAATAATAAATTTCTACACCGGCAGAAAAGGCACAGCAAACAGGTCAAATCTGCTGTAGAAAAGAAAATGAATGTAGATATAATAAAACATTAGAGCCAGACCGATATATCGGCAGACCGATATTGTCGGCCGATATTAGGCATTTTCCAAACCATCGGTATCGGCAGTTATAATGGCCGATAAATGAATATTTCAAAAATAAAATAAAAACGGACGAAACACGTTTCAACTATGTCATGAGTGTTGGAGTTGTATAGTTTGTCCACCAGAGGGCACTCTACACCGTTCCTGTTGGCAACACTCGTTGAGTTGGTCACGATGCATACATTGCTTGAATAACAATTAAAAGAACATCCCCATCAGTTCTCTTAACTCAAATAAGCATGACAAAATTTGTGACTATCATGTCCAGTTTCAAATAGATAAATAAAATATCGGCCGATATATCGGAATATCGGATTTTAAAACCCAAAAATATTTGTATCGGTATCGGCCTTCAAAATCCTTTATCGGTCGGGCTCTATAAAACATATTGTAATCCGAGGAGCAAATTTGTCAGTCAGGTGGGAATCATGTTTCTGGTTAATGAGAGACAACAGCGCCTCCCCACAAGCATTTTCGGTACGCACTTTTCCTCGCGTAACGACAAGCTGAAACGAAAGCTGGCGATACGCGATACAGGAAGCTTATGATCATACTACTGCACGCATACAATACCATGATCGTACTACTGCACGCATACAAGACCATGATCGTACTACTGCACGCATACAAGACCCTAAAATAAAGCAAACCACTCACCGTGGTTATATGACGCTTTTCGCCAATGGTTGAAAAATATATATATAAAATCCTGATTAAAAACTTGTAACTTGAACATAAAGACTGAAATGTATACATCAATACATTTGATTGAGAAAGGACTGAGAAAACCTACATATCAACTGAAACGCTCCTGTAACATTCTGGTTTCGTCCGTGGTGATTATTATAGATGTTGCCTGTGGCAGCAGGATACGACGTTTTTCTGGCTCACACGAGGAGAGGCGAGGCAGTCGAGGAATACAGTGAGGGAGTCTGAGGTGGATATGAGGCATCTGTCGCTCCGTTTGCTCTTCAGGACTCCTGAGGAACCACTTCCATCAGTTTCTGGAATGTCGCCGTGGTGGAGACTGGATAGGAAAATATAAACAATATAGGTATTATTAATATAAATAATATAGGTATTAATCAAAAAAAGATAAGAAATGTTTCTTGCGCTGCAAATCAGCGTTTTTCGATGCGTTTTTTGTGTTCACACCCAAGCGTTTTTCGCTGACGACGAGTCGAGTGAACATGCAAATTCATTCCCTGACATTAGATGGCGCCCATTTGCTCTGCAATAACAGTTCTCTTTTATCAAGATGTTTGTATTCGCAGTCGCGTTAGTCATACAGTTCTTTATGTTCTAGCACCAATGAGAACAGCAGCTCTACATTCATTTTGCCTTGCATCTTCCTCGTCTTATTTCTTCCTGGCTGTGTAGACGGCAACGCGTATATCTTCTTCACCGTTGCATATGTGTGCTCAGCAAGACCGTTTTGAGCGCCCCCAAGTTGTGTTTTACTGTCTCTTCAGAAGCTCCAAACACGTGAACAAAAGCGCCAATCTCATTGGTCGGATAGTTTTTATGACGCTTTTACGCGACGGTGTGAACACTCACATTGGCACCCTTTGTTTAGTCACGAGGCGTTAAACTTCGGCGAATAACAGGTGCGAAATTCGTCGAAACGTGCGGAATTCGGTGTGAACAGGCCTTTAGAAAGATTGAAGACTGGAGTAATGATGCTGCAGATTAGCATCACAGGAATAAATTACTTTTTCAAATATATTATTACTGTAGAAAACAGATATTTTAAATTGTTATTAAATTTCACAATATATCAGCTTTCCCTGGATGTTTAACAAAATAAATTCAGCAGCCCTGCCAACGTCGCTGTGGAAAGATTCATGGACGCTCTGACGTAGATCGAATGCTTGGTCTTTTTTTCAACTTTATTTAAAGGGGCCGCGAAGCAAACGAGAATGTCGATCGTTATTTTTGCAGACTGTAAGTTGACATAAAGTTAACCTCATGGAATCTTTTACATGTGAAAGTAATAAATTGATCGATGGAAAGAACTTAATTATAGTGACATGTTTGCTAACTAAATAAACCAATTAGAAGCCATTTGTGTAGTGTGGCATTTGTGTTCATGGTTAAGTGCTAACCTAATTTGAATTCCAGCTGAAAAACAAGCGTTCTAGCGTGAAAATCTTCCCTATAAAGTGATGCGCGTCTTCTTATCAAATTCAAATGATCACCCTCTCCTCTATTTTGCTTGGGAACTAATGGGGTCAGAACCAAAGTTTACAGGACTACATTCCCTGGAATCCTTTTAAACGGAGCACTTCTAAATTCCGACATAGATATCCTCAATAAAGGCTAGATGTCTTACGGCCTAGTTTTTATCGTCATCATCGGCGGCCATCTTGTCACAGGCAAGCTGGGATCGTCAACTAACCGACGTTCAAGGGTACCCTAAAAAGGCGGATGTTGACGTATGGTCAAAAGACGTCCCTAGACGTCAGTTATATGACGACTTGGGATGAGACTGTGTTACTCTCGGTGTGAACATATAGAGAGAGTAGTACGACTGATTTAAACTAGCATGCAATTAAGTCCAGGCACTCAGGGTTACAAAAGTGAAAAAGGCCTTTATTTAACAATCGAGGGCTAAACCATTAAAAAACACCAACGCATATCGATACGCGTTGGTGTTTTTTAATGGTTTAGCCCTCGATTGTTAAATAAAGGCCTTTTTCACTTTTGTAACCCTGAGTGCCTGGACTTGGATTTCTTTCCAATTTTTATGAACTTTCATCCCTTCCAAGAGCACCAGAGGATACAAGGGACACCAGCAGCGCTCCAGCTTCCTTTTGTTTAGCATGCAATTAATTCTATCATTTATTAAACATTTTATTTTGAGTAGGATTTATTAGTGCATGCTATTGTAAATTGTTTTTTCAAATACCATGTGGGACCTAACAAAAGCACGATAACAGCCCAATTGTAACAATCCAATCCAATCTCATTGGATAAAAACAAGCCACATCAAGCAATTTATTACTAAATATTCTTTTAACACTTTAAATACACCAAATTATTACAATGCATTTAATTATACAAATTAAATGGATTGTAAATATCTTATTTTGTCTTGAAAAGCAGTTTCGTCACAAGTTTAATTCAAACATTATCTTTGTCAGATGTAAGAATGGCTGGCACTCAAAGTCAGCCTTCATAACCTGAATAGTGTTTCAGATTTAAATAATGTAGTTAAACCATCTTTTCTCTCGTTGTCATGAAACGCACTAAAGGAGAGACACTCACAGAGGATCTGCAAGAGCCATTTTGGCTTGGTCCGCCACCAAACGCCGAAGAAGTAGACGGGAACTCCTGTGGCAATGATTCCGAATCCTATAGCACATTCCACAGGGGTTTTCCAAATGGACACCACGATGAGGAACAGGCAGGCCAGTACGAAGGAAATGGGCAGCAGAATATTGACCTAGTGGACAGAGAGAGGTTGGAAAGTTTTGAAAATGTGATCAAAACTCTATTTAAAGTCCTGTCGGAAAGTATAAAGTATGTATATTAAGGAAAATTAATTTCACATATGAAAGACACACACAGTAGAAGTGTACAGCTTAATGTTCACACCCTTTTCTCTGACAATCACCATTCTTCTCTGACATCCTGATCTTTGATGTTTGGGTTGTATTGTGTTTTCTCCATTTATATACAATGAACTTCACAGTCCTCCAAGGTTCAAAGCAATTCTTTTTATAGCCTTCTCATGTCTTTTTTCCATTTACAACTACATCACAAAGTTCCCCAGAGTAGATTCTTGCTCTTTGTGATAGCCGGACTGAACTGGTTATATCAAGATGCGTTTTGGCCAATCGGATCACAAGTGGATGATGCTATTGCTAAATACATGTGTAAACCGTCTAGAAGATTTTAAGCTTGTCCACTTTCGACCACTTCCAGTGGTAGTCGAAAACACATTCAACAGGTTTGCTTTCGTTCTGTAACACTTAAGTAGTCGAGTGTATTTGAACAGCCACAAAAGACAATTTTTGCCATTTTAAAAGTATTAATATCTCACCCAATCTTTTGAATAGTAGTCATTTTCTTACAAAAGTAATATTCCTAGAGTATTATAAGGATTCCTAACATCTAGAAGTTTGACACTTCAATAGTTAAAACCATCCAAGTGTCTGAAGACAACATTACAGGGAGTAATTAATCCCAACAGACAATGGATTGTCCCTAATGAGATCGAAAATGAGAAAAAAAAAAGATTATTGAGCAATAATCAAATGGCCTCTTTCACTCCAGTGCCTTCAAACCTCCTTTGATGAACATCCCTCTGTCTCCAGCAGATGACCGGAGACAGAATGTGGATGAATGAGAGAGGCGCACAAAAGGGCCTGTGTGTTACCGTTCTCTTGCTGGCTGTGTCCGGATTTAGACAGAGAACACATATTATGGCAGGTCACTTCTCATGGATTCGAAAGTGTGACCTCCTTCCCCATCACAACGTCCATCTGTGTTCACTTACAGATGTTCAGCCAATCAAAAGTTGTTTGCTCCGCCCCCTGGCTCACCTTAATTGGTCGTTCCAAATCAGGTTTTTTGTAGCGCAACCACATCATTCCAATGATCGCCATGGCAATGCAGAGCCAGTTAAAGAAGCTGAAGAAGTTGATGACGGAGAATATGTCATTGGAGAAAGCGTAGAGGAGAGTCATGATACACTGTGAAGGGAAGAGTAAAGAAAAGGCGGGTTAAACTTTCTATTTTGCCAATTATTTGGCATCCAGCAATCTTTTATTTTAAGTTGGTTCATTTTTATGTGGGTCAAACATTTCTTTGTGTAAATTGACCTTTACAGTAAAATGCAGTCTAATTCATTCTGATTTGTGAATCAGTACAAAAAGATATTGTATTCACTCGGGACTCGAGTGCAAATAAGGTGTGGTCCCTTTAAGAGCTGTGGGTTTCATGTTGAACTGACGGTGGTGCCGTGTGCCTCGAACACCCCTTTTACTGTCTATGCGAACACCCCATGTATGCGGGTAATTCCTGTTTTTTTACTAATTTTTAGCTTATTTTGTTTATAAAGTAAAGAGTACACGAGTTTGATTTGGGAATAAAGTGTTAGTTGTGAGATTCCAATCGCCACCGTGAGTCTGTCTGGCCTCTGCATGCAATACAGTAGCTTCAGTTGTGTGCCATCCCTATTCTTCCTGAAGCAACGCGTATGTAGCCTACTTCAGTTTCTTTGCGGGGACTCCGCCTTCACCTGCCATCATGTCTATCGGCTCGCTTTTGGGTTAAACTTTTCGCGACTGCGTAACTGGATTATAGGTTGCCAGGTTGGATGATAAACGGGTTGAAATTGTAAATGGTCTGTTGACTGTGTGAATTTAATGCATTTAATCAAATTTGGCAACTGGTCAACACTACAAACATATTGGTTCGATTATTCCTAAAGGAGGTTGGGCCATGCAAATTACGGGAGTTTCCCGAGAGAAAAAATAAACCGGGAGGGGCTAAAAAAATGGGAGAAACCTGGGAAAAAGTGGAGTATTGACAGGTATGCTTCTCTCTAACACTCTCGTGGTACTTTGATATCATACACCGTATGATTTGCTCAAAAATTGGTTAAGATGATTCATCCAAAAGAACTGATTCAAAAGATTTGTTTTCCAAAAATGGAAACTGAATAAAAGCTTAATTTGTCCAAAAATTGGTACCACTAAAACCAATTCATTGACAAAAAAAAAAATTGACTCAAAAGACCGTTTTGCTCAAAATTGGGACCATTTACTCCAGTTTATTGAAAAGAACATGTTAAAAAGAATGACAAATTTCACTCATAAATTAAAAAAGTTAAAATGCTTAAAAAAAGAGAGAAAAAAAAGATTAATTCACTAAATTCACCCTTTCAAATGTCTGTGACTTTTAACTTTTAACTGTAACTTAGCCTACGGAGGAGTGATCCAGCTCTCAGATTTAGACAAAAACATCTTAATTTGTGTTCCGAAGATGAACGAAAGTCTTGCGGGGTTGGAACAACATGAGGGTGAGTAAATACTGAGTTCATTTTGGGGTGAACTAACCCTTTAAGACCCTGCTGAGACATTACATGTCACATCGATATCACGTGGGATTTTTGCGGGTTGTGTGCGAACGCACTCTCTGATTCCGGAAAATCACTGGCAGTGTGAATAAACCAAAATCGAACGAACCCGGGTCAAATCCCGGGTCACTTTATCCGTGTATTTTCCGGAATCTCTGTGTGAAAGGGGCTTAAGAAAATGGACATAATTTGAAAGTCCTAGAGAGGGATGAGGGATGTGGTTGGTTGTGTACACCTACAGTAAATATAAGTGAAGGCAGAGGGGTCATCAGCTCAGGGTGGATCATCGACAACAAACTGGGAAGATGACCTTCTCTGGAGCCCACAAAGAACAGCCTGAAGGGAAAGAGAAAGATACATAAGAGACCGTTTTGGCCATTAGGTCTGATACTAACCAGCATTACAAACAGATCTGTTCCAAGATAACCTGAGCAGCGTTTGCAGTGGAAAAGCCTCCAGGGTGACTTTAGTACAACACTAAGTTGTTTATTTGATTAATCTGTATGGTTGAAGTAAAGGGATCTGATTAATCTGACCTCTTTCAACAAAGGATATTTATAACAAGTGTGTGTGTGCATTACCTAGATGAAGTAAACAAAGAGCCATTCACAGAGCCAAAGCAGGACAGACCCACAAACACAGGGATTATCCAAGCCATTGGCCCTAGGTGGTAGTTTCCAAAGTCCTGGAAAAACAAAACAACTTACTAATTATTATATAACTTTAATCAGCATTAATAAAAAGGACAAATAAACACATTGAGTTAATAAAGGTAACTAGGCTAAATATGGAATAGAGTAGTCTATGTGGCGACACTCACTACAGCAACAGCTTCAGATGAGAGCATTTGCTCCGGACTAAGCGTGGTGAAGTAGGCCAGGTTGGTCAGCACATAGACAACGGTCACAATGGGAAGTGAGATGATGATAGCCAGAGGCAGATTTCTGTAAAACACCAGCACATACACCATAACATAACCCACTACTCTCAAACACTTCACTATGCTTGTTAATAAAAAAAAAATAATAATAATTAAAGACCTAACGTGCATTCAGTTGTTTTTGTGCATCTAATTTTGTAGAAATTACCATAATAACAGTTTGACATGGTTCATTTACTTAAAGTACTTATACATAAGCTTTCTTAATCATAAGATCTTTCCAGTGAACTGAAACGTTTACTCCCTAAAAAGAGGAAAAAAACATTTTTTTTGACTTACCTGTATGGATCGATCATCTCCTCTGTGACAAAATTTAAATAATTCCTGGTAAAAAAAGAAAAAGTAAATGCAAACATTAAAAAATGCTCTCTTACAATTTCAACAGCTGGAGGCCAAATATGAAGATGTAGAAACTATAAAGAAAAATAACTATAATAGTTTGAAAGAGGATGCAGAGAAATTATAGACTGACCGACAAATAGTTTCGAATTCTAATTAAGGGGAAGTGTAAAAATTTTGTGGATATTATAATACTTCTTCCTGCGCCAGCTGAATATGCAGAGTCAATTATAAGTTCATCTGACTTCCATGGAAACTGCCAACACTGGAGTTATCAAAACAGCTATGTGGGATTTTAGACCAATGGGATTTCACAGTGGACGGGTCTACTCAGCATGACCGAAAAAAAGAAATCAAGCGTTCATCAAAATGCCTTATTCTATGTTGTTGTTGTAGTCAAGACTCTTTAGGATAAAAAAAAAATGATTCACATGGAAAGATATCTTGGATTGCATGGTGTGGAATTATATTTTACTAGTGATTTCCCTTTTTAAAAGTCTTCCTGCTTTCCCTAGTTTCACCCAAATATAGAGAAGTTCTGTGGTCTTACCATCCTCCATAAGCAAACAGGCCACTGTAAAGAGCCAATCCGATGTTGCCAAAGTCTGTTTTGCTTCCTTTGAATGAATTTTCCGGCAGAAGGTCAGTAGTACCACCTGCAACAGAAACTATCAGCGTGAGATACGTTGCTGTTGCAGACTATCAGGACCATTATGTAACATAAACAACCCAAACAAGTCATAATATCTGGGGAATACTCTACACTTCCCACAATATTTCCCATGAGAGGAACAAACAAGCTTGCATGGAAAATTTGAAGGTGGAAGACTGCTGTCATAATATGACGAATTTTCAAAATCAACATGCTGAAGTTCTCAAGGCTGGTTGTGGGCAGAAGGTCGGCACAAGAGGGTCAATGTCGCAGATGACACAACTGAAGCGCAAGAGTGATGGGAAAACAAGAACCGGAGAGAGAACTGAGGGTTTGCACATTCTTGAACACCCAAAGCCTGTGAATTTCCCACTAGATCAACAGATGAACAGTGTTTTTTCAGGCTGAGGCCCGCTCTCTATCTGTTCCATGAGAAAGCCGGGGGAGACCAATCCTCTATATGTGCAACCATCTCTCCAAAGCCTGTGGGTCGTGCGACGAGGGCTTCCCTAAAAGTAGATGCCTTATTGGTTCAATTTATGGTTACTAAACAGGGGTCCGAAAAGAACTAGTTTCACAGGTTTGGTATGTATATGCAGAACAGAAGAATCTGACACTAAAGGCCATTGCACACCGAGTTCGAAATTCGCGTCTGAAATTTTCGCACGTTAAAAAATAAACACGACCTCACGTTATGTCAATCACGCTTGCAACACTGCCTCCGAAACTTTCGCCCGTCATAAAAAAAAATCGACTCGATTTGTCAAATGGTGTTTTGAATCACCGAATCACAATTACGAAAAACACGTACGAAAATTTCGGACTTGTGCAATGGCCTTAAATCCTAAAAAAGTGACTACTTGAGTACTCCAGAGACTCTCTTGTACTTTCATTCTCGCTTGCTCTTTCTTTTCTTTGAGAATGTGTGGTTATTTCTTCGTTCATTCCTGAGCAGCTCTTTAACACAATAGCATCAACTGATTTAATGTCCTAATTTGCATATTTTCCAGGTTTGACGGCATTAAGGCACAGAAAGTAAAGCACATGATTAGCACAACCTTTTTAAATCTAAAAATGGACTATATGGAGAATATTTCTCTTTGTTTCCCCATAGTTAACTATGGCCACTGGGATTTAATACTGTATATAATATATTTACACTACCGTTAAAAAGTCTGGGGTTAGTAAGATTGATTTTTTTATTCAGCAAAAGCACATTAAAATTGAACAAAAGTGACAAAAAAAAATCTAATTTAAATAAGTGTTTCAGAAAACCAGAAAAAATGTATCACAATTTCCACAAAAATATTAATATTACTAACATATTGAATAAAAACATTGCAACAAACCAGCTGATGTTGGATCATGTGACAGAAAAAAAAGGAATCTTTGCCATCACAGGAATAAATTACATTTTAAAACATATTAAAATAGAAAAAAGTCATTTTACATTGTTATAATATGTTTTAATATTACTTTTATGTAATAAGCACGTTTTAACGGTCTCTTTGATCAGTGAACATAAGACACTTCTATTTGTATATGTCGAAATTAACATTACCCAGAATAATTAAGTACTTATTGTAAAGTGGTGTCTTGTGGAAATGTATTTTGAGAGTAATTTTGTGAACATGTTTGCTGTGTAAGAACAGTTACTGCCCAAGGCGAGCTCATGTGAATCAGTGTGATCGATGGACGCCAACGCCACCAGGTCACATGACACGAAAGGCGAGGTAGGCGCGTGTGTGTGTGAGTGAGACTGTAGGCCCGAGGCAATCAGGCACAGAGCGAGACTGAAATCCTGTATAAACTCTTTGTATAAACTTGAGTATTACAGGCTCAGACCTGAGCTTCAGAGAACTATGCTAGCACAGAACAGCCCAATCTCTGTCTAAGAGAAATGCTTCGACAGCAGATCTCAGCTTACATAGCCTAGACTCAATCTGAAGAATTCCTAAAACAGTGTGTGAAAGTGAGCCGGTTCGGTGAGTTGAGCGTCCTACACTCTAAAAAAAGCTGGGTTGAGCCTGTTGGGTCATTTTTTGGGGTTATTTGAAACAATACAGCCCTGAGGCTCCGACGCTTTACTAAAACAACCCGTCTGATGGGTTACACAGAATGTAGGCTTCTCCATCCTCGTCAGGAGAAAGCAGATCTTAACGCTGGAGAATTGGTGCATTACTTCAGTAAATTAAAGGTTTGTATACATTGTATTTCATCTTTAGAGTGTTTTAAATCTCATATATTTATATGAGATATCAGTCAGCTGAATGTGTCCGTCTCGCATGATTTTGATTCGTTATAATACTGAATATTATTCATTTGGATGTTAAAAATTTTTCTCAGAACTCTGTATTGTTTGTTTATGTGTGCAGGTTATAAGAAGCTTGTCAAGATATCTTTCGTTTATGTGAAGCGCAGAGCAGCGGTGTGAGGTTCGCAGCTGCCCCGCCGAACAGTGGCCCGTCACAAGCTCAGATTTAAGTAAACACCGCAGCACTTCTGACAGGAAAATATGTGAAAATAGAGAAAAACTAATTGAAGCGGAGAGGAGAGAGAACATTGAAAACTGGCTGCAGCAAGTTTTGGCCATAGTGCTTTTAGCCTGTTGAGAAAAATAAGCAAAATATGGTAAAAAAAATATGGTTATTTTCAAACGCAAGTCATTAAATATTTAACTTTTAAAAAGCAAAATCATTGAACTGTATACACTGTATAATCGTTGAGTTGACATTCTTTTCTGCACTTTTTTACTCATTCAAATGTACATGATTTTTAAATCTTGACTATATTTTTGTGTATATTCTTGCTTATTAATAAATGTTCAACTTTTGATTATTACAGTTGCCTGTGTTGTTACTATAGTAATTTAAATTGGGTTCATTTTAAGTCCGCAATATAGTTATTTTTAATCAATAGTTACTCAACATTACTCAATCAATAGTTACTCAACATTTAACCCAACCAGTTGGGTAAAGAACAACCCAGCACTGGGTTTAACCCATTTTGACCCAGCGATGGGTTGCCAAATAACCCAAATTGTGTTGTTTTAACTCAGCGTGTAGTGCAAAACAAATAACAATAATGAAAACAAATGAACAAATCCAAAAACAAAACAACATATTATGAACACAATGGCATGTCTATTTCAGTGTGAACCACAATGCTCAGATTGAGTACAGATTGCATCATTTCCTGTTATATTCTTTTTACCTATCTTTACTCAGCTCTCAACTAAAATGATCAATACTGTGGAAAAAAGACCAAAGCTGAAAACTTTCCTCCAATGCTTATGATAATTAGCGAGTGGAGTCTGGGGAGGGGACTTTCTCAGTGTGGGCGGAGCTCCAGTCCGTGCAGAGTTTACCATGGTTGATAAACCACAAGGTGTCCTGTTGCATGCTTCTCTTTCGCAAGGGCTGGGTGGTTTGGTGTGATAACGTAGCGGTATTAAGCACTAGTGCTTTTCTCGAAACAAACTCAAGCACTAAGATACACCCCGAGACCTTTTCTGGTCTTGTAGTCAAACAGAAGCCACTCTGTGCACCGAAACTGAGACAGACTGAGGAAATGTCACAGACAAAGACACTCTGAATTAAACAGCTCTTTCAACAGCAAGACTTGATAGATAAATAAATAAATAAATAGGACACTTGTCTTGTCACTTTAGCCATACATATCTTAGGATATTTCTACATACATGTGTTATAAAATATTACTCTCTCAGGACAGGGAGGGTGTGTCTCTTTATGGATCAAATTCACAGGCATCATTCTCTGGCCTCACTGTTCTCTTGATCAGTTTGCATTTGCTTATCTAGCTAGCACATAAATACGCCCAATAGCTAGCCAGCTGCCTCACTGTCCTCAGTCAACATGAACAATCATCTAATCCATTCTAACTAAAACTGAAAGCTATACATGACTGATTTGAAACCTTTTCATATGGATGGAATCAACTCATCTCACAACTGTTTTAAATAAGCATAACCCTAGCCCAAATAGCATACTATAGTACACTGTGCACTCATCCATCATCAGAATCTCATTTTAGAGTACATAAAATGTCCAACATTTCAGTTTTTGAAAATGTTTTTCAATTTAAGTGCAATATCTGGGTATTTGAAGTGTACTTTTTCACAAACAAGGCAAGAAAATAGTGCACAAGCACAAAAATTAGGACGCATTTATAGAGTTTAATCTTATGTTGCTATGCTAAATATGCAATTCACGTTAGACTCTAACTAAAATATTTCCATTTTAATTTAACATCTCATCTACCAACTTTTTTCATTGAGCATATTGCAACTCTTTTATTTATTTTATTGATATTTTTTAAGATTGTCACCATGCATTTTTGAATTGCTTCACTTTGAAACTTAAAAAAGAAGAAAAAACGAAATTAATACATTATTCAGCAAGGATGTATTAAATAGGTCTAAAGTAAAGACTTTTTAAACATTTTATTTTTCAAATATATGCTTATCAATAAATCAATAAACAAAACATATTAAGCAACTGTTTTCAACACTGCTAATCATAATATATTTGGTTTCTTGGGCACCAAATCGGCATATTAAAAATATATATATTATTTAAATATATTTAAAAAAATTACATTCTGATTGGTTATTGCGGTATTTTGTCACAATAACCAATCAGAAAAAAAGAATGTTATTGGTTAGCTGTCCAGACTGGCCCCGCCCCTGAGCACTTGTTTTTAAGACCTCTCAGTACTCGAAATTTATAATCTCTATAATGCATGTGACAACCTCAGCAACTAAAGAACACACCCAAAGGCATAACCAATCAAAGAAACCCACACCCAAAGGCTTAACCAATCAAAGAAACCCACACCCAAATGTTTAACCAATCAAAGAAACCCAAACCAAAGGCAAGGGGCACTTTCAAGTTCAAAATGGTACACAACGTTTTGCTACGTTTTGCTAAATCTGGGTGGCCAATAAAAACCGTTCTGGGTCCCATATTGCATGATTTAGTAATTAACAAGTAGTACAGCGTCTCCTTTCCATTTTTCTTTCTTTCAATAACCATCTTGCTGTCTGTCACTACATGTCCACTGCTGTGGGGAGTGAGAGAAGGTGGGGGGAGATAAAAGATCTAATCATCCATTCAAATTAACCTGTCCTGTCTTGCTGACTCACAATTGATTGAATGATACCAGCTTCAGGCCTTTGTTTGAGCAGCAGACACGGGCATGTAGCAAGTGAACGGACCTTTATTAATCTCCATCTCCGACTGTGAAATTCTCTTGTTGCTTTTTGAATTTGTGAGCTTAAACCAGTAAGCTAATGAGAAACTGAACCAAAAAAGTCACATAAAGGGACAAACAGTGCAGTCAAAAATGCATCTGCTAAATGTATAAATGTAAAAGTTATTCTCTGTGAAACCCCTGATGTTAATTCCATTTGGTTACTGTGGCCATTTAAACAGAAACTAGGGGGGTAAGGTCTGCCAGCTAGTACTACAAATCTTTAAACTGCTCTTTCTTTTTGTTTGCTCACTATTTCTCTAGACTATTGCTGTCAGTGCTTTAGTGTCTCAATGGCAAACAATCAGAGCTGCTGTTCTGGCTGCACATTCAGCTCGTCTACAATTCAGTCCAATTCTCGGAATCCGAATCCAGGCAACAGAAAGCCCTAAAAGTGATGGAGTGCTGACATATCAGTGCCTCAGGCATGTGTCAAGATAGCTGAACCAAGACTGCCGATACACCTTATTTTTATATACGACCATAAACATTATTTTTAAGAAATAAATAGTAAATTGAATTTAAAAATTGAGTGTCTGTCTGTGTGTGTGTGTGTGTATATATATATATATATATTAAAATTAAATTAAAACGTAATGTATATATATATATATATATATATATATATATATATATAATGATTAGATAAAAGAAAATTGATTTTAAAGAAATGACACAAAAAAATGATAGTTTGGGATCAAATGTTTGTTTTTAGAGATAGATTTAGATTTAATATAAATTATAGTAAAATAATGGTTTCATCAAATATTTTGAAAAGGGTTAAATGGCTAAAGGCATTATAACACTAAATGGCAATAAATGGCAATATAACACAAAATCTGTAAATAATGTGTGATTTTAATCGTTGGATACAGTCAAGAAGTCCAGAACCTCTGACGTAGGATATTTGATGCATTTAAAAATACATGCTATGTTTATTTTATGTTAGCTAATAGTTTATCTATTAATTGATTTAAAAAAGTAATCGGGCACCAATTTGTACCCTTTTCATGGAAAATGTCTTCAGGTACTGAACTTGGTGTCAAACTTTGTGTAGCTTGCAAATACTTTTAACCCAGCTAAACAAAGTGCAAAAGCAACATTGTAATGAAAATTATTGGCAAATCTAAATAAAAAAAAAGACTATGCAAACCTTGATTCATATTAGACATTAAACATAATACATTCCCTCTGTCGGTATTTACAAACGTGCTATTCATATTGGTTCTTATGGTTATTGTGTGACATGGTCTAATTATATATATTTATAGTTATAGTTTTTGTTTTTTCTTTTTTTCTATAATTTATATTATAAACCATTATTAGCCAAAATAACAGCTATTTATCTGATTCCATTACATTCTTCAGCACTTGTTTAGTTACCTGACTGAGTGCTGGTGGACATTTAGGTGTGTTTGTGTGTGTTACCCACCTTTGCCAATCTCCACAAAGCCAATAATGATGATGAGGGCCAGGGCAAGTAGCTTAGCAGCGGCAAAGGCATCTTGGACCCTTGTGGCGGCCTTCACACTGTAGCAATTGATAGCAGTCAACAACACTATAGGGAGAAAAGGTGGGAGAAAAAGAACCACAGCCACTTATTTTTAGTCTTTCACAACACAGGTTCAGAGAAAGTTAACCTAAATACTTGGTAAACTAATTAGGGTAGAATTTGTCAACTATGCTTGAACTCAGGAGGCGTCGCTCACAAATCTGTTTACGCTTAGTTACACGTGGCAGCATGAAATAGCATGGCTGCCAAATTTCTACTTACCGGTATTATCAGAGATCAAATAAAGTGTGGTCGAATATCTGTCTGATCTTGAAAATTTCAGCACCAAATGTAAGATTTAAATGAACATAAAGATCATATTGTGCAGGACACATTAATATGCCTAATGGGTTATTTGCATTACAGGGTGGATCTGCGAACGATTACCTGAGTCATACTCAAATGTCTCGGCCCTACTTATTCCATCAATTTACTTTAATTTTCGTTTGGTTGATTCTGTTTCAATATGATTAAAGGGTTAGTTCACTCAAAAATATAAAAGTATCCCATAATTGACTCACCCTCAAGCCATCCTAGGTGTGTATCACTTTCTTTAGTTTAGTTAAAGAAAAGTTTAGTTAACGGAAGAGTGAACTTTGACAGAATCGTTTTGTTCAAAAAATAACTATACTATAGTCATGTTACTTGTACAAAAATACATTAAATTATATTTTATGACTGTATGAATATAGGTGTCATGGTGGATCAATGGGTAGCAGCACTGTTGCCTCACACAGCAAGTAGGTCCCCAGTTTGAGTCCTGGATGAACCATGAAACAAATGGATGTAAAAAAATAAAATGGCTGCTTGAAACACAAGTTCACCGACCAAATACTGGTAAACAGATTTTGAAGGAATAATAAAAAACAGGAGCCTCTATTACATTTGCCTCCAAGCTCCCTATTAAATGTGATTAACTAACGAATACTTCAAAGCAGCATTAGCTGTAAATCGGTCGAGGCACCAAACAGAGAGGCCAAACCCAAAAGCCTTTGTGTGCCCCTAAAGTACAAAAGGAGGTCTGTATTGAGTAGGACAGTAGAGCCTGGGTCCCTCAAGCAAGAACACATGCACATTGGATTAATGTCAGGCATTGCAGTTCTCGTTCTTAATAGACTATAGACTAGTATCATGAGACAGGTTCCTCACTGAAATCCCTTTTTGCAAGAGTGTGGTCTGGCTCAAGGGGTGTCTCCCATGGCTACACACTTACGCAGCATAGTTTAATGCTACGAACCAATCCGGAGGCCCCTTTTTCAATCATAACCTCAAAACAAATGAGAAATTGGGTCAGGGGAACAATGGACAGCTGCTACGCCAACAGACACAAATACTGTCTATGAGGAACCAAACCATAAAACTGGGCACTTGAGCTTAACATTCAGTGTTAATATCAAACGTGTAAATCCCATAACTTGTCGTTGCTCAGTTTAAGCATATGGTCATAGCCGTCTTTACCTCCCTTTCTGTCTTGTCATGTGGGTTCTTATGGAAGGATTAGACTAGCAGGGTGAGATTACAGTGGATAGTGGGTGCTGTGTTCATTCACTCCTTCACAATCACAAAGAATACACATTCCTGTACCCCAATCAAGCATTCATCTGGCCTAAATGGGAAAGGAGGAAGAGAGTGAGAAAGAAAAATACAGGGAAAGAAAGAGAGAGATATGGGTTTTAATTTGTTGGCCAATTGGTAATTAGGGCTTGAGCTAATTCTGCTAATCCTGACTGGTTTAAACCTGCGGGAGGGCTTCATTGCTCGCATAGCTGACATGGTGTATCACACCCTCAACATATTGCCATGATCATGAATGTCAAAGATCTGTGAATTTGTGATTGTGACTGAAGCACTGCAGGGCTACATTCATTAACTCTTATTGGTCTTAACACTCACATCAGTGTGTTTTCATCTGGAAGACTTTTTTTTTACAGTGTTACAAAGCACCTATGTGAAGTTTCCTGTCAGATGTAAAATAGACATTTGGAAAACATCTTTAAGATGTTTATGATATAGAATGTGTGCAAAACTGACTTTTTAAAGATTTTTATCAAATGCTTTCCAGATGAACCACTCTTTAGCCATCTTGGAGAGATGTATGTGTGCACAGATCATTTACAATGAATAATCTTAGTTTAGACAGGTTATGTTATTGCATACAGGCCAACAGGTAAGTGAAGTTAAGTGGAGTTTCTGAAACATAAAAAAGCAGAGTAATTATTAAGATAGTAATGCAAGATGTTTTACATTAAATATTAGCATTGGTTAATAACCTATCATAAACTACATTACTCTGTATTTTTTAAGTTCCTTGCTAAAATAAATCTGCATTTTCTCAAAATATAATATACATTTGAAATCAAAATATTAATATTAAAGCCTCGCTAAATTGGTATAATTAATACTAACAATGCAATTCATTAGCATAAAGCCCGCCAAGGTGATGTAGCAGCGCGTGCCACTGCCATCTCCTCCTCCTCACTAGATGATGAAATTTTCCTGCACCTTTTCAACATACTCATTTCCTCATATAAACTACGCACGGCGTATCTGTGTCAACACATGGCGTTTCTGTCTCGAATTACACATGTTCTGTAAGACACATAGTAAAAAATATATATTTATAACTAGACTACATATATTGACGGCGAGAAACGTAGCTAATAAATGAGGACACTTGAACGCTGAGAGGATGGAGGCGCGCTAATGGCACGTGGAATGACAGTTGAGGCAAATGTTAACGCCAAAAACGTTTAACTATGGAGATCCATGATAAAGGTTGACTTAAGCCCTCTGTAAGTTAGTTTTGTTTATGTAGGAAATAAATGGGTTAAACATGTTTAATGTGACCTAACGAAGTAGGTAACAGGTTACTTACGGATACATAGGCAGGCGACCAGCTTTGCCCCTACCTCAGGGACAGGGCAGAAGGGAAAGATGGGCTTCAGGAGGTATGTGGCGAAAACATAGGCGACAATATACTGCGACGACGGCCTTATGATGAGAAGCTCGATCCAGAGTTTCAGAAACGCAGGTAGAGAGCCGTAAACTTCAAGGATGTAGGCGTAGTCACCCCCTGATTTGGTGATGGTGGTCCCCAGTTCGGCATAGCACAACGCGCCTATAGTGGAGAAGACGCCGCAGACGGACCACACGACCAGAGACAACCCGACTGAACCGGCTTCCTTCACCACTCCGGTTGGAGTCACGAAGATACCAGAGCCAATAATGGTGCCTACAATAATGGCCACGCCGTTGACGAGAGTTATAGTTCTTTTAAGCTCGACTGTCCCTTCTCCCTCCGCAGCGCTGATATCTGCGCTCGGGCTTTCAGGCGTGCCGTCTCCTGGTCGGCTCATCTTGCCATTCCCTCCTCTGCTGGAGAGCATCTTCTCCGTCACCTGCTCTTCATCCCGGTCCGCGGAGGCATTTGAACTCCGTTTCTTCAACGCTGACATTGCTTCTTTTGGTCAAACAAAGCCAGACGCTTTGTTTTGCTTTTATTAAGTGTGAAAGAGACCCTTTCAGCTTCTTCAGACTGGGCTCGATGATGCACGGTGATACCGTGGAGTCAGGTCTGACTCACAGAAACGTGGTTTCTGAAGTGTGTCAAGTCAACGTTGCAGAGACCCACAAAAGCATCTCCTCCTGATTCGGCCTGCCTCTTTTTTCCTCGCCTAATAGCCGCGACATTGAGTGCAGTATCGCCCTCTGGTGTCTCAATTCCTTCTGAGTGGTCCAGCAAGTTGAGCAAGTCAAACCATAGTCTTTCATAATTTTGTAATGGAGTTGAACCCCCCACTGTAAAAAAAATATCGCTGGTTTAACTTTAAAAAAAAAAAGTAACCTGGTTGCCTTAAAATTTTAAGTTGATTGAACTGGAAAAAGTGAGTTAAAACAATGAAGGAAATTGAGTTAATCATCCGAAACTTAAAATAGGTTTTCTGAAATAAATAAATAATTTAAGTTGATTTGAAAAAAGAAAACATGTTGTGATAACAAATCTTGAAAATATTTTTTTACAGTGCAAGTACCCCTTGAGTTTGAAGTCACGTCAGGACATCTAAATAAAAATGTTTGTGCTATCTCTGCATGTTTATGACAACCAATATAGTCAATTATTTCTCTTGATATTACAAATTCATTTCAAACAGTATGGAAAAGGGGTGAATTCAAGTTGATCGGGACACTTTTTGCCAATCACCCTGAATTCACCCTATACTTTTTGAATGCTGAGATCAAGTAATCCTACTAAAATATTCTAAAAGACTCAGCTGTTTTTTTATATAATTGAGTGTGCTGTACTCATTTTTTTTTCAAATGCTGGGTTGTTTAAATCCAAAGTTGGGTCAAATATGGACAAACCACACCATTGGGTTAAGTCTTGTATTAAAAATTTTAACCCAGCATTTTTAGAGTGTAATTTACACAGTTGGACTATTTTGAGTGATGTTTTTAATTTTACACATTTTGAATATACTTTTTATTATTATTTAATTTGCCTTATTAGCATAATCTTAACCCCCTGCAGTTTCTGGGAGTGGTTTCAGTCAAGTATTTTCTGTCTTAGCTATTCAGATAATCCTTGGCTAGACGTGAATTGCCATTACTTGCCGTTTCGGGTTCAGCTCTTAAAAATTCTTTAGACTCAAACTTGATCATAATGTCTGAAGAAGCATATGAAAACATAACAAAAGTTGTCCCTGCTAATTTCCTGTTTTCAGGTAAAGGCCCTTGAAACATCATGTCACATTCCCTGTGGGCTTTAAAGATATTAGTTCTCAAATTAAACAAAACAACAATCCACAAGCTTGCGTTTCAAAGAGAATGACTTGCATGTCACATGCCTTCAAGGTATCAATCTCAGAGGACCTGAAGAGTATTATCTGCAGGGGGTAAGTGTGTTAATACCTTTGTATTTTATTTAAAGTTTATTCATCAAGGATGTTTTTGGCAAGGATGTTCTCTTTGCATATGTGTTCTTCTCAGCTACACATTTTTGAAGTTAGCCTCCCCTGCTCCCCATCATGAGATTGACATTTTATTTATGTTTTCTCAGCTTGAAGATAATTGAGACAGCGGGTGAGTTTTATATTTTATAAGTTGTGTGGTTTCTGCTGAGTTGTGGCCTGATATTTAAGAGTTGAGTTTTTTTTTTCTCTACAGGAGAGAGGGGCGTGGGCGTCTCGGTTCCCTGGCATCACAAGAGCTGGATGTCATTAGAAAACAATCATCTCTGAAACTTTCAAGGGATTATGCCAAGATTTAATGTAAGTTTTAGACAAAATTGTTACTAATAATTTGGGGATTTGCACCGACAGGGCCAACCACTCAATTGATTGGTTTGAAACGTAAACTTTTTCAGTTCAAACACTGTGTTTGATCTATAGAGGAAAACGGCTGGATTGGAGTTCTGAGAAACATCTGAGAAACAAGCCATAGGTTCCTGTTTATAGAAAGCTGAATGGAGTTTTCTTGTTTTGTCTAAAAATAACCTGCAAAAACAAAGGAACAAAACTATAGTAAGAAGCCTCATATCTGAAGCTTTCATCTGTGACTTCCATTCAATTATGGACGCCTGAAATCTCAGAAGACACCAGCATCCACAATCCCTTGAGCTAATCTCAGAAGACGGCAGTGGCTCAGTGGTTCATATAGGTTGTCTACAATCCAGAAGGTTGGTAGTTCAATCCCTGGATCCACCTGACCAAGTGTTGAGGTGTCCATGAGCAAGCCTAACCCCATCTGCTCCCGACGAGCTGGATGGCGCCTTGTATGGCGCCATCGGTGTATGAATGAGCGAGTGAATGCAAGTGAATGCAAATAAAGTGCCATTGGGTCTGTGAAAGCGCTATATAAATGCAGTCCATAATCCACAGTTGCAGAACATCTTCCTTCATAAAACCGTGACCATCGCAGGGTTTTCCAAAGTCGTCGTCTTGATCTCCTGCTCTTCAATCGGTTCACCTTTACAGTTTGTTTTTCCTGTTGAGCTCAAAGAGTGTGTTTCTAAATTCTCTCACACAATGATAGGAAACCATGGTGTGTTTGGGACACGCAAAAACCCAGTGTCTCGTCCCATTTTTATAACTCATGAGGCCAAGAACAACAAACATGGAACGGAATCTTTTTGAACCAAGTTTGAGACAAAACTCAATCCAGGTTCCCCAGCCTTTACAAACACCCACACCCTGGCCTGATCTACGTCTCTGATTCTCGGTCCCCAAAAAATCTCAAACTTGCTCTCTGCTGGTTCAGATTTATTACATGGAATCTTCTTAAATCTTAGAGAAGGTCTATAGCAGATGAAACGAGTAGCCTTGACGGAGATCTTAGCAGAGGGAACATTTTTGTGATAACAGAATTATCATACAAGCTTTATTTATTATCTTTTTTTTTTGTAAATACAGCTTTAAACAAATCTAAAAAACACTTTCTTGAGTGGCATTCCATAACCTGACATTAAAGGGTTAGTTCACCCCAAAATGAAAATTCTGTCAGTATTTACTCACCCTCATGTTGTTCCAACCCCGTAAGACCTTCGTTCATCTTCGGGACACAAATTAAGATATTTTTGATGAAATCTGAGAGCTGAATCACTCCTGCGTACTAGTCCATAGGCTTCTTGAGGGATTGAAACTTGCTGGCCTCAAAAAGTTATTAAAGACATCGTTAAAATAGTCCAAGTGACTACAGTGGCTCAATCTTACAGTAAGTTTATCAAACGACAAGAACACTTTTTGTGCACAAAAAAACAACAAAAATAACGACTTTATTTCAACTATTCATTTACTTCTCTCTCTGCCTCGAGTCAGGTTACTAGTTTAATAGTGTAAGCTTCTGTTATTGTACGTCACACACATCACAAACATGACCAGCGTCGGCCAATAGTGAGCCTGCATGTGACGTAGCTCTACGCTACCACACTAAAAGTGAATAGTTGAAATAAAGTCGTTATTTTTGCTTGTTTTTGCGCACAAAAAGTATTCTCGTCACTTGATAAAGTTAAGATTGAGCCACTGAAGTCACTTGGACTATTTTAACGATGTCTTTAATAACTTTTCGAGGCCGACAAGTTTCAATCCCTCAGGAAGCATATGGACTAGTACGCAGGAGTGATCCAGCTCTCAGATTTCATCAAAAAAATCTTAATTCGTGTTCCGAAGATGAACGAAGGTCTTACGGGGTTGGAACAACATGAGGGTGAGTAAATACTGACAGAATTCTCATTTTTGGGTGAACTAACCCTTTCAAATGTAAATGTAAAAATTAAGACGTTTAGGTAAATATGGTCATGAAAGATTTAATATATAATGTTTCTTATGCAGCACTGTGAATTCATTTTTGATTAAAGGTTTACATATAATAAAGCAGTTATTTCATACAAGAGTAGTGAATGCATTTTCAAATATTTTAAAGGAATTATGTGTAACACAGACCACAGCAGAATACTTGTCTCTTGATTGTTTTATTTCATTTTAAAACAAATGTTAATACACAACATGTCAGACAGCATGAATGCATTTGTTAATGTTCAGTTTTGGGTCTGTAGGATCCCCCCTGCTAAATCTGCCAAAACACGTCGTTTTTAGCGCAGCTGATCCGGACCTAACCAGCACCTGGTGCAACAACACTTGCTGTGATGGGGCCCCCATAAACCTCCGGCACCACCCTCTTCCTGCCTAAATCCCCAGGGCACATGCTTGCACACACCCACAAGTAAAACAAATTGAAAATCAACCAAATATGGTCCAAATACAAAAAAAAGACATTGGCATTTTTTTTTTTTTTTTTACAAAATCTCATAAAACTTACAACGAATAATACAGTTTGCACACAATACAATGCATATGTTAGGCAGCATAAGTGACAGTAATGTAAATGACTTAGTTCAGGTGATAAGATACCGTCTATAAAACCCCAGATTTAGTGTTAAATAATGTAAATAATGTGATTTCCCTCAAGCTACTTAAAAAGACAAAACAAGCAAATCCTATTAATGGGTGTGGAGGAAAAAACAAAAAGTCATTTTTCATGGCCAACATGGCCCTCAATGCCAACAGCAAAAAGTGTCCAAGAACCTCAAACCGTAATCCATTCACTGCATAATTCAAAACGTGTCTTCACACACTATTCAAAGATGCTTCAATGCGAAAACATTGCTCCAGGACCTCCTAATGTGAAAGAATGTTCACAACTCTGAATCTTGGGCAGGTGGAGGGAAGGGATCCCAGTCTGAGTCTCCCTGTAACCTAAAGTTTGTACAGTGCAAATCCAGCTTTCCAGTCTAGTTGGTATTTCTTTGAATTTCAACCATGAACGCAATAGGGAAAATGCCAGGTGGCCCATTCAAATGAGAGGCCGCTTTAGGGACGGTTTGCACAAGAGCATTGTTATTCAGCCATCACAAAGAGACCGTCAGCGTCTCTTCGCAGTTATGTTGAACTTCTGCCGATTCTGCAGCTCCCATGTTACTTTTCGACCGTCCTCTAAATATTATCATCACCAATCTAAAAACATTGACGTAAATGTAAAGTTCATTTGCACATAAATAAAACTATTAACATAAGAGGTCCTGGATGCTTCTAACAATTTCAGTGTCTCATTTTTACTACATTTACAGCATATTTCAGACAAAGGAAAACGGAATGCACCAATATTGAAGTATGACAATCAGTTGGTCTCACTGTATATCTCGTTTCTACATTGTGTCTGGTTTCATGTCCACCTCTAGTGGAGGAATTTAATAGAGCAATACGTGCTCAAAAATGGAGGTTCCTCTCTGAAAGGTAGTTCATCAAATAGTGGAAAGACACGTCCAGGTGCTCCCAAAAACATTTTACACGACGTACTCACACAAAGACTAGTTTCTCTGAAAAAAGACTAGTTTCACACTAAATACACTTTCAAGATTGATAGATGAACAATTACGACTGTGATATCATGAGTACAACAAAAACTATAAGAGATTTGAAGGCACATTTTACCAAAAGGCAAATATGGCCAACCACTTGTGCTGAAGTTGATCAGATAACTGATTAAATGAGAGCAATGGAGAACCAATCAGAGATTATGTCCAATGCAAAAGGCACTAGGGATTATAATAACCTATTTTGCACAAATCTGAACACATCGCAACTACAATAACGCATATTCACTAAACAACTGTGCGCATTAATCTACTCATGTCTTATGCATATTTTACAAAGACTATATTTCTAGTCTTATTTATATTGCAATGCTCAGATTTTCTCTCTAGATGTGTACTAGATCTTCTGAAAATACTTTCGATTATTTATTAGCGTCTAAAAACAAATCAAACGTGAAAGGCATTGTGCAATATCATGCATAAAATAAATTCTCTCGCAGGAAACAAGGTAAGTGAACCACTAACTAAAACTACTGTATACATACATTAAAAGCGTAAAATGCCTCAAAACAATGCACAATGTGCATTCTGTCAGTGATCCACAAGAGGGAGCTGTTTGTCAAACGTGGACACCCCTTGCTACTATAGTTAGAGGAATTGTGCGTTTCATACTGAAATTAGAATTTCTTGAACTCTCGCATTTTTTTCAATAATTGTACAAATACAACGAAATGACGATGAATTGGATGAACCTTTTGACATAGAGATTAACAAACTCTTTCAATAACTATATCTTTGCTAATCCCTTTCAAATGAAATCTATAACTATATGCCTGGTTGGAAATGGTTAAAATATTTACAATTTCCAGTTAAAATCATACAGATACGAGCACCCCATAATTAAGAGTCTTTTTGTGATGTTTGGATGGGAATAAGGTCACTGATTTGTGTTGCTACTCCTTTGGCGGAGCATCTTGGAGGAAGGGGGAAAATGAAGAACGTACAGTCCGTCCCTTCAAAGCCTGCTGAACACGGAAGTTGTTGACCATGCTTCTTTGCATCTGCTCTTCAGCCGATGTGAACAGCAAGCTTCGAAACACTGCCAACTGAGAGAAAGGGAAACAAAAAGAATAGGAGAGAATATATTTAAAAAAAAAAAAAGGAAACATCCAAATATTGGTATTTAGAATGAGAGAAAAAAGGGGAGATTATGTAAAAGACAAACAGGGCGAACAGAAAACAGATGTCAGCAGTCAGCCAGATGAGCTTTTCCGTTCCATTTCCCAGGTTACCATGGAGCAGGGGAACATGAAGTCGGAATAACAAACAAGACTCCCAGCAGAGTCCAGTGTGAGCTGACTCGAGGCTTAAATTCATAGCTTTCATAAGCTGTTGGCAGTTTGATGACTTTCAGAACACAACAATCTTACATTTATTGAAACTAAGCAGCAAAAATCCAAACTGCTCTGATCTTACACAGCTTTCTGTCTCAAAAGGACGTAGAATATGTACCATATTATTCCTAAACAGCAGAAGAACTAGCGACTAGCGTTAAATGTAAACGCTTGTCAAACCTTGCACTGTTCCTACACATCTTTTACAAATGAATGGACCATTTTCACAGACTGTGATGACGAGTTTCCACAATTCAACATCTCGTCTCCTGTTCACTAATATAGAAGTTTACCCAACATCGTCGACTTCCGCTTCTGAAAACCCTGGAAATGTGAAAAGTGTCTATATAGATTTTTTAGATCCTTTTACAATCTAATAGAGGCTTTGCAAAGATGCTGTTATTGAAGTATGTAGCATTAAAGGGATATTTCACCTTCAAATTAATTTTTGATATGTTTTAGCCTTAAATCAAGGGCATCCAAGATGTAGGTGTCTTTGTTTCCACAGTATTTTCAATTTTGATACTTTTAGGTCAAACCGTTCTTGTCTGACAGTCATATAATGGAGGTCTATGGGGTCCATCTCAAAGAGCATGCACAGAGAAGTCCAAATTAAACATGATTTAATGACTCGTAAATGTAAGTACACATTGATGGCCTAAGACACGAAATGAGCGGTTTGTGTGAAAAAAGTGAACTTACATTTACGAGTCATTAAATCATGTTTAATTTGGACTTCTCTGTGCATGCTCTTTGATGTGAACCCCATATACCTCCATTTTATGACTGACAGACAACAACGGTTTGACCTTAAAAATATCAAAATTGAAAAAACGGTGGAAACAAAGACACCTACATCTTGGGTGCCCTTGAGGTAAGCTAAAACATATCAAAAATTAATTTCAAAGTGAACTATCCCTTTAAAAAACTATACTGGACAGGCACAACAGCAAAGCTAAAGCAAATTTTGATTAATTTTATTAATTTTGAAATGTTAATTTTACATTAAATTAGATTAGTGTTTCTTAAAGGTGCCACAGAAAAAACTGAAAATTTAATCCTAAAGGTTAGACAGAAGTGAAAAATAGTCATATAAACTATATCGTGACTTATGGACGCAAGAATTATTTTTGACATTTTACTCCACAATCACACTTAAATTATAGCTGCAGTAATTTACACAGAAAATTACATAACCATTTTTTTTTTGCTATAGATATTCATTAAAATCGGCATTAAACAAAAAATATATATACTTTTTTTACTATCTATTTTCTAAATGAATCTCAATGCTCATGTGAACAATTCATCCATCTGACTACCTTGTCTGTGTGTGTAATGTCCACGAATATTACATATAATACATATTACAATATTATTTTCATTTTTTTATTTCTTCAAATATGCTATCGAGGAAAATATTCCTTCAATTTCCTGTCTCATATCAGCTTCATACCTGATCGTGACTGACTTCAATATGCTGTTTCATCACAAGCCATGTCACCGCCTCAGTAAGAGGAGGAGTGGTCAGAGAACCTGCGTATGTCCAATAGTCATCGATGTTCTCCGGAAGGAGACAAGCAGGGTCGAACTTGGTAAACTCTACCAAGCTATCCTGTGTGACAAATGATGAGAATATTACATAAAAAAGATGAATCAACCTCATCCCTTGGTTTCCAAAATATCATGCTCTGAGGTTCTTAATCTCAGTTTATGACTCACAACAATGCCAGTGTGTACAAAACACAATATTTGATGCCTTACCTTGTGTCTGACTGCTGGCAAGGCATCCACCAGTTTCTGTAGACCCTCGTGCCTCTTCCCAATCTGTGAAAATCCCAAATCAAAGTGACTTTTTATCCACCAGGCCTACTGAGCTTAAAGATCCAAGAAGTTTGACAATAATTACACACATCAGTACCTTAAGAAAGACTCCAATAACAGCTAGTCCATTATCCTCCATTACAGCCTCTTCAAACAAACTGTACTTGTCAGAGTTCCAGTGAACAATATGGAGCTGTGAAAAACAAAAACATACTCATGCTAATATGAATTATAATTAAGGGCTCTTTTTCCATTGTGCTTTTTACCTAGTTCAGTTAACGATTACACAATCCTGTGGTTGAACAGCTAGGTTGGGTTTTTTTTTTTAAGTGTCACAATAGCTTAAACCAACAATCTGACAGTCCTCCATTCATTCTGGCACGATTAGATTCAACCGAGGAGGAGGGAATAAAAGCACTTTACGCAATAGAGGATCCATTTACAGGGCTGAAATCTGAGCTTTCTTTGTTATACGCACTCACACAGACAAATCAGTAAAGCTAAAGAAGTGTTGAGAGCCATAATAAGGTCACATTCTCACATTCGGCACTTGGCTTCTTTCACTCACACGTGCCTCCTTATGTAACCGGCTATGAGGAGTTAAAAAGTACAGAACTAAACCAGGGTTAGTGGCACATTTTCAAGGGGGGGTGACAATCTTTTAGATTTTAGTGGGTTGTTCCCAACGGTAAAGTCTCCGCCTCTATTATAGAGAAGCTCTGTCTATTTCGCAAGAGAGAAATGCTTCCTCGTTGTAAAAAATGACATCCAGATGGCTAAGTCTGAAACAAAGTAATTTTTCATTCTTCGTTGCGATGTAAATCCTTAAAATATACTGAAATCTTACGTAGGGGTACCTCAGCAGGGTAAAGACGGCGGTCTATGGAGTGTTCAGAGCCCCAGGCGTTGTTCTCTCCCCAGTGGAAATGAAACTGACACAGTCTGAACTTATCCTCCAGTGGTCCTCCCTTCAGAGCTGAAAGAGATTCATTTCAGATCACAATACATTTCAAACAAAATGTTAACCACAATTTTAACCAAGCTCACATAGGAAATTCCTACTTGAAATAAGGGAAGCAAAGTCTCAACCAAAGTGATATTAAAGTTACTATTGTAAAACCATAATTAATTAACATAACTAAAGTATTTTCTTTTATAGACAACAGTACTTCCTAATGCAGTTTTATTTTAGTAACTGTAGTACAGAACATACTATTACCAAATGTTTAAATAAAGACAATGAAGATGACTTACTGGATTTGTCAGTGGTGTCGTCATACTCGACCAGAAAAGAGTAGCCATTGTTCCAGATCTGCTGGCAGGTCCTTGGGTCATACTGCACCTTCAGCGGTCTGAGTTGTGGGTCAAAGACGCTTTTACGCGCCGCGATGTCAATAGGTGACTGGCGATCTCCACCGGGAATGGCGAGCGGCTCCTGCCACATCGGATGTACTGGGGAGAGAATGACCGGTTAGGGTACGAAAACCTAGTGATCTAGGCAACACATTAGGATTTTAGACAGTCTAACAACAGCACAAGACATTCCAGAAAATGTATGAAGCTTTTTACAAAAAAAATAAGACAAAAACAGCTGAATAAAAATGATTTATAAAACAAAGTACATTAGACAGACAGACAGACAGATGATAGATAGATAGATAGATAGATAGATAGATAGATAGATAGATAGATAGACAGACAGACAGACAGACGGACGGACGGACAGACAGACGGACAGTTAGATAGATAGACAGATAGATAGATAGATAGATAGATAGATAGATAGATAGATAGATAGATAGATAGATAGATAGATAGATAGATAGATAGATAGATAGATAGATAGACAGACAGATAGAGATTGACAAATAGATAGATAGATAGACAGACAGACAGACGGACAGATAGATAGATAGACAGATAGAGACGGACGGACGGACGGACAGATAGAGATAGATAGATAGATAGATAGATAGATAGATAGACAGACAGACATACAGACAGACAGACAGACAGACAGATAGATAGATAGATAGATAGATAGATAGATAGATAGATAGATAGATAGATAGATAGATAGATAGATAGATAGATAGATAGATAGATAGATAGATAGATAGATAGATAGATAGATAGATAGACAGAGATTGATAGATAGACAGATAGACAGACGGACGGACAGAGAGATAGATAGATAGATAAATCACATAAACCTACATTTTATGGCACACAGCTCAGCCTCACATGTTGCGTTACACATTTTTTCTGATTCTAAAATAAAATGCTTAAAATCCCAACAGGAAAAAAAGTTGCAAAAAGAAATCCAACACAAAGCGGCAACCAAGAGCCGACGAGCCGTCCTTCTGGAATGTGTTAGAGAAGTAAAAGTCGAAAAGAAAATATGCTTCCTCCTGTGACTCGATAACTCAAAAGAAGAAGAAGAAGAAGAAAAAAAAACCCTGACGTTTGGAATGTCAGGGAAAAACTGACTGTAACACTTGACAGGAAGACAGTCAGCAGAGTTTTATGCCACCTTTATGAATGGACATTGTGTTGGGAATGTTATAGCCAATCCTTGAGCAAACATGAACTCCAGTTCCTATACAGCAAGAAGGTTTTCCATCGGAGCTCTTCTTACACAATAACTGCTTAGATTGTGGTCACATGCTCTACATTCAACAAAAGGATTTAAATCAGCCAGGGAATGCGATCAACGGGCCTTTCATGAGATTAAAATGGCCTTACTTTCATTCCTGTCCACCATTTAAGTGGTCTAGTAAAAGGGGATTATAACTGTCCTGGCCCATTTTGTGGTAAGCAAACACAGACTGGGTTTCTAACTAAAACTCTCTCATAAAATCTCAAAAGACATGCTTATTTAAGCTTAGCCTTTGATTAAATGTAGATTAAAATGACCTTTTGTAATAAACTTGATTTGGGATGTTTACTCTGTAATTTTCATTACCAAAACCATGTAGATGTCAGACCACAATAACTAAAAACCTTTTTTTTTTTTCTCTTGGTAACATTTTACAATATGATTTCATTTGTTAACATTAGTTGATGCATTAACTAACATGACCAAACAATGAGTTAAGAGTTAATAAAAAATACAGTTGTTCAGTGTTCATTTTAGTTTACAGTGCATTAGCTAATGTTAAGAAATATTTTTGATTTTAATAATGTATTAGTAAATGAAATGAAATTAACATTAACTAAGATTAATGAATGCTAGTATTGTAGAAGTATTGTTCATTATTAGTTTCATGTAGTGGTTAACTAATACAATTAATTATATTTCTTTGTTCATTTTCAATTGTTTTAACAACTAGGCTAGTTTTATTTAACTTTAACTGATATTTGCTTTAATGAGGCTTTCAATGTGAGGCTTAAACTATTTAAAATCGGAAAAGACTTGATTTATGCTTTGATAAACTAATCGGGTTTAGATAAGATAAGGTCTACACAATAGAAATGAAAGCTATAAGCAGCTACTAATTGCATGGTTAAGATACGAGTCCAATCTTATACAACAGTTTTAATAATATTATTCAAGAATGGGTCATTGTTATACATGATACACTTTTTGCATGCAAACCAATTTAAAAAAATGATAAAAATCTAAGTTTATAAATAATGACTATCACTGAGTGACGGCTTTGTTTTCACCTAAAATTGCAAGCTTGTGTCCCACTCATTCTTGCAAAAATTGCATTAAAAATACTAGGTTTTAAGAGTTTTCAGTTTCATGTTAATGTTCTTTATTTGCCTAAATTTTTTAAAGCTCTTACAAACAAAAAACTGACTTATATTGCATCTTCAGGGCTGTTTTCAAAGAAATGTTCTGCAGACATCATAAACAAGAGGGCGTGGCCTGTGGAAAAACATGTGACATGTAAAACACTATGTAAAAGGATGGGGTGATTTCATAATTCATACAACCAATATGATACAACTCAAGGTGTATTTGCCCCACAAAAACGATGCACAACTGCCGCATTATCAATATAGTCATCATTTACCATCGTGTTTCATGTAAACATTCTCTGTCATTCAAAACCCGGAAGTCATTGAAGAGGGCGCTGTCGCTGATAATAAACAAACACATTGTGACTCCATAATCATCATCCCAGTCATAAATTACATTATAACATCTGTAATAAAACCTAGTGGTGAGAGAAGGGAAAATAGTGCACAAGTGGTCCATCAAAAAGACCAAACATTCGGGGGCCCCGGAGGGGGGCTATTTACATAACCCAAAAACTTCAGAAAAAAATAATTGAACTTATTATAGTAAAAATGCACTAACCTTGACTCAGGGCTAGCTTGCTGGAGCATGCACTCAAGTTGCATGCCCGAGCAGGAATCCAGCGCTGACTTCTGACATGATTCACCAGATGTCTGTGTATCTGCCGACCGAGAGGCGCTACGATCGCTGTCAGTGTCACCATGGTGTGTTCAGTTCACTTTACCAATCTAAAAATGAATTATGTTGGACCAAACTGCCTGAAGACTCGGATTAAAACGTATAGCTTGATTAATAGAAGGTGTCACGCTACGCCAGGTCCTTCGGTGTGAGCGCTCGCGCAGAGCTCGTGCCAACAACACTGAACTAACTTACTCTCACGCCCTCCCGATTGGCGGATGAAGGTAAAGAAAAAAAAGCTGGTTAACACCCACCAAACTACAAATGGGACTCTAACGTTAGATGTTTCCAATTGTCTCGGTCTTACGAAACTCAAAAGGCTTTTGTTTGTAGTCGAGACAGCAGGGCGGAAAATAAGGACGAACAGGTTTAAATATCCCAGTAACGTTAGAAGATAACGTATAAAATGGAGGACTAGCTAGACCAGTTGGGGGTCGGGTGTCCTTCTCAATCCAATCAGCTTCATTCTCCGAGGGGCGTTGGGTTTTAATTATATGCGGAGGCTGGACTAACATTCAAGGTATTTAGGGTATTTATTTAATGAAATATTAACATTAAAAACTGGGTTATTGTGTGGACCATAATATTATAAATAAATACGTAGATCAAATTGCTGTTTGTTACTTTTTCCATTAATTAATACATTTTTATTAATTGTTTATGGTCATATCATGCATCCCGGTTCAGTTTTTTTATGGCCTAATATTAAAAATCATATTTGGAAGAAAGTAAATACGTCTTAAAATGCAGCTTGAGTTTGAATTGTCCATTCAATCCCATAATGCACCTCAATAACTATGGCCAGGACGATGTGAACGAATAAATTCATGTGAACGAATAAATTCAGCCATATCTCCTTTTTCCCTTTACGAAACTAACATTTTTTAATTATTGCACCAAATGTATTCGAGATGGTATCACATTATTTGTCGTGTAAAATTTGTTTTTCTAGAGACTATTTTTTTTTATCGCGCAGACGGAGGAAATAAAAAATAAAAAACATGGACCATCACACACAAAATGTGCCACTGAAAACGTAAACTTCGCATCTTACTTGGGTTGCCAACTAGGGGAAGGGTTAACAGGTCATTGTGGCATCTTATGGACCCCACTGACGACATCTATCACGTGAACTGTGGACTCCGACACCTACGTGAGTAATAAGTGAAAACAAAATGTACTTGCGTCAAACATCCTAAATGTAAACAACGTGCAATTATAGGACATTGTACCCTTTCATGAAGCTTTCATGGTGAATAAAGGTTAAATGAGATGATGTCCTTTATTCAGCTCCTCAGTTTGGTCAGTAAATGAGGGATGGACTAATTTACACTGCTAAAGACTACAACTATAAGAATGAAACACAATGGTATAAATAATTGTCTTGAGTGTATTTTTCTTTTTTTTTTCTTTAAAAAGTCAATATTTTTCATTGTGGTGCTGAAGCAATGCAACAGAAGATAGACAAGCCATCATACAGTAATAGTGTTACTGTACAATGATTTGGTTATTTAGAAATATTACAGAGGTCAGAAAAAAAAAACCTGTAATAAATATGAAATATTGTTTTCAAGATGAGAAATGCATTCAAATACCGTGTCAGCTTTTCTAAAATACCAGGACACACATTTCGTAAAAAATACAAAGTTGAAAAGCATTTTATCCATCTGAGGAAAACCTAACCGAGTGCAGTTCATAACTCAGCCGTTTTCTGTTCCCAAAAATCAAAGGACAGAAGGAAAAGACGACATCCATTGAGCTTGAACCATATTGTACAGATATATTTACATGTTTGGTAAGAGAAACAGTACAAAAATTCAACTTGAGGAAAGTCCTCTATTGTTGGGCAGGTGAAGATGCTAGTCTAGAGCGATGATGTCTTCATCATCATCATCGGCCGGCGGCTGGTCGAGACGTTTGCGCTTAGACGCAGCATCGTCCGTTTCAGCATCATGATGCTTCCTCTTGCGGTTACTAGACTCCGGGGAAGCGTCCATGGTGCTCGAGGACGGTTCTTCGTCTGAGTCTACAATGAGGATGTCATCATCCTCTGCAGCTGCTGCAAACATTACACAAACAGCAATGATGAAATTTAAATGCTGTCATTGCAATGCTAGTAGTTCAGCAGAATAAAACTGGATTCTTATAATGCAAAACTCCAAAATGACAAAAAACAAGCGAGTAGTGTGTGCTATATTACAAGTTTTTTGGAGAAATGTGATAGTTTTGCACACGGAGCCATAGGAAATGCAGGTTTGGAATGATGTTTTTCATTTTCAGGTGAACTATTCCTTTAAAAAGCTGATATTTTGCCAAAGGTTTACAGGCAAATACTGTTGTTCTTACCTTTAGATGAGGTAGAAGGCTGGGCAGAATCTTTGTTACCATTGGCAATGTTTTTCCCTTCTTCCGGGGCACTGGGAGTTGGTGCCTTATCCGGGGCATCACCCACTACTTCAAACTCAACATCCTTTTCCAATTCCTCACTACAATCAATGTAAGAATAGTTTTAATGTTCAAGACTGAGCAAAGTAGTACCCGCTAAATGAACACACCAACCTGTGAATGACATTGACTAGAAGAGTGTAATCCTGTAGGAAGTCATCGGCTTGAAGACGGCTCCCGTTCCGAATCCCAAAGTCGGACAAAAACTTGTTATTGTTTGCTAAAGAGAAACAGAGACACCAAAACATTAAAGCAAAGCTTAGAGTTTTGTTATAGTAGAGTAAGATGCCCTCTAGAGGCTGACTTAATTCACACCTTCAGTCTCTCCTTCCTCTGAGGAGATGAGGATTGTTCCCTTTCCATCCTCAATTTGAACATCTGGTGCCACCATGCCAAATTTCTCCTTCAATATCTGAAAAAGCACCACATGAATATAAATAAGAACTTTCCAATCCAAACACACAAAGCGTCTAAAAACAAAGTGTGTGCTTTGAAAAACTTGTCAGTACCTTGTCCTGAAGAGCTTGCACAATGGTTTTGTGCACATTAAGTTTGACAGTGACCTCAGGTTTGCTAGTACACACGTAACAGTTGGGATTGGGAGGATCCAGCGCACACGGTACGAGAAGCTTTTTCCTGGGGTTCGGCTGCTTGTTCAGAAAGATCTAAAGAGAAACATTAACAGGAATTAAAACCACAACTCCCAACTATACCGCTTGACAAAACAGGAAAAGGTCAAAATGTTCTTCACAACTGCAGAGATGTAATCAACTCAAACCAAGAGAGAAAACTAAATATAAACATGTGTTAGATAACACAGGATATGCAATTCAGCTGTCAACTTTCTGATCATAATCTTCGAAATGAACCACCGCAAGCTCACCGTGCGACACTGTTCGAAGTCTGAGTTGAGAATTTTGAGTCCTTCCAGAACAATGAGTCCGGCAATTACGGCATTAGTGGTGGCTATCGCTGGAATGATGTTCCCTGCCATGGCTAAAAGAGAAGACGACATGGTTTAAAGTCACATTGAATGCAGAACCAACTTTTTATTGAAGCATTTCATTCTGAAGTATGTTGTTTCTTAGTTTCATTGCCAAAGAGTCTGGGTCTCTTGAGATACAAGGCCATAATGCATTTAAATAAAGTTGAGTTCTTGGTAAATAAATGATTACAACAACTTTATTTAGCCAAAAACAGACAACACCAAAAAAAAAAAAAAAACAGTTTTGTCTTGCTCTAAAAGCAACAAATGGCATGGTATGAGTCCGCTTGCTTTACTTTGGATTGGTTTGCTTTTCCACTGCAGTTTAGTACTGCTTCAAAGTGGGTGGGATTATAGACTGATTGTAGACCGATTGTAGACCGGCTATAGTTGCGTTGCCACCTTGTCTACCAACCACAATACAGCCATTTAGTTTTTTTCCAAGTTGCGTGCGACGGTTGTTTAAAGCAAGTCCTTTAAAAAAGTCGTGCAAACAAATTATACTGCGGTTGGCTGTTGCCGACTATTTAAATCCAGTGTGTTTAACCTCTTGACGCAAACCCAATGATGCTGGTAGTGACGAAACTCTGACAATTCAGTGATCTGCAGTGTTTACACGTCACATTTTAGTATCAGTAGTACGGCTCGCTTGGAACAGGTTACTGTTCACAGAGGAAAACCGCCCAAAAGTTAGCAGTACCATGCAGGTGAACAGCACCAACATTTTGTTTAAACACCAACTAAAAAGAATTTCAAATAATTGAATTCAAGACAATCACAGATGCCATTCAGCCTTGAAATCACTTACATTTGACATCAAAGCGGCTTTTCATGTTCATGCTGAAGACGTTCATTCGCAAGTTTGCAGCTGATGTTACGAAGTCCATGGCTGGAGGATCATCCTGAAAATAGCACCGCAAATGTAAATTCCAGGAGAACATTGTGCAAGCTCAACAATTAAAACTGCATTTCTTTTATTTTGATGAAATATATAGAAATTGACAGATAGCCAATAATATTTTGAATTCACATTGGCCTGACCATTGAGTGTATTGGTTGTACTCTATCTTGAACCCATTCACATAACCATAACTTTTGGAAAATTCAAGCCATTTTGTGGAACCTCACCTTGTCCCAGACTAGCTCCGCACCCTCACCCTTCTCTTTCAGCTGAGATCGGAGAGTTTCCACACTGCGTTGGAAGAGCTGAGCGTAACCCTGAACACCCAACACCTGCTGGTCCTTCAGACCTGTGCCACAGGCCTCCTCCTGAGAACATGCTTTTACACACACACCATACAGCCTCATTAATTACAATTTTATATACAAGTACGTATATTTGTTTACATAACTAGACTTAACTAGAGTCAACAGACTCACCATGCTGCTGGATTTCCACCCAGTCTAGAGGTAACGGGGCTTTCCTCTTTTTCCATAACTTATCCAT